AATTAGCAAACTTTTTGACTGTTTACAATTAGCTCTTCTTTTTACTTTTAATTTCTGACAACAGCTGGAGTTTCATAAAAATTTTTGTTTCCAATGTTAATCTTATGGAGAAATATGAAACTTTAAAGGGCTCCATGGCCTCACTCTCTCATTATTTCCCTAAAAAGAAAGTTTCCTGCACAACTTCATGTTACCCTCTTTCCAATGACACCAAAAACATGTCAATCGGTTCAGTAGTTTCGGAGGAGTAATTGTCACAAAAATCCTGCTTGCGTATTAAATAAGTATAGATTTAAATAGAATTAGTTTAACGAGTACTTAGGTTTGCTGCAACAGGGAGGCTAAAAAAGATTTTTTTTAATTATAATAGTTTAGTAAGAAATAAAAGTATTTTCCAAAATCGACCAAAATATGTTCATAAACAAGCAAACTACAACAGTTGACTTATTCTCCATAAGAATAACATGGGAATTTTAAAATTACAATTTTTTTGAATTTTCTCCGTAACAATTAGGCGCATAATAACGCTTCAATATACTAAATTATTTGTTTTTTTAAGCTCTACAAAATGGTTTAATAAGAAATTGTGAAATTTTGTGTTTTTAGGGTCTAAAATGGGAAAACCCTATTTTTACCCCATAAAACCCCCCATAAACCCCCGTTCCCATAGTCCGATCATGCTGGTTCACGAACTCATTCAAGTTTATCGCCCCTTACACCTTCAAACCAAATTTTATCAAAATCGGACAAAAATTACTCAAGTTATCGTGCGGATGGACACACACACACACACACACACACACACACACATATATATGGGCTTAGGTCTTACCATCAGACCTACGGTAATAGCTACTTCTCTATAGGGAAATTCGCTAAAACGCACTACATTACGCTCCCTGTAGCAGCAAACAAAAACCTATGTATAGTTTGCTATTTAGCTAAATGGGATGAATTATCGTAATCCTTGAAAGTAACCGTCGATTTCCATGGGTTTCGACAATTTTTGATAAATAGAAAAACTAAATATACTTAAACACAAATAACTCAAAATCATTGGGTTTAGATAAAGATGATAAATACAAAGAAATGTGTATTTTTAGATGGACTAAATTTTGTGAATTTAGCTTTTCCCTGTATCGCTAATAATAAAGTAAGTATAGCCAAAAATACAGAAATATGCTTTCCATATTTATATATTTATGTATGTTATATATTTTTCAATATGGTGCCGTAGCACAGCTTCAATTTTAGGGGACTTTTAGTATGTTTTAAAGGAAAGTACACCCAACATTTCTGCCAAATTCCTTGGTGTTATTTTTTTTGTCAAAACATATTTTTATTGTACTAAAAATCATTGGCCGCATTTCGTACTTTTCTTAGGGCCAACCTTAATTAAATGTAACAGGAAAAGCAAAGTAGTGTATCTCTATACATAACCAGAATCGTTAGAATAAATTAATTAGAAATATAGGATACAAATCCACGTACAATTAGTGCCTAGATACAATGCATCATGATGTTCCAGACATCATGATAGATGTTAAGACGAAGTAAAGTACTTTAATCTTTATATCGTAATAGATAAAAGCCATTGAGTGGGGAAAATACAAAATAAAATAAATGTTTTTCCATATATTTCACATATTACTCCAAATCACTCCTTGAACACTAACTTTGGCGCAACCTGTATTAACACACAAGTGGTGCAACTTTCACTATTAGTTCAAACAAACTACTTTAGTACATTGGTTCCGCGCACTTAACATGTTGACTTATTATTTAACAGTATGAAATGAATAACGTAAAGATTACTTAAAACCTCAAGAAACCAGTTTGATGAAACTTGGAACGTATGTGTATCACAGTTGAGATTCTACGGAAATGTGGCAACACTGCATACGTGTGCACTCTACCCTATAATGATGGAATAGCTCTTTTCAGACCATTCAGCGAACGAGCTCCTACCGTAAAGGTGAGTGAGCGTAGCGAACGAACTTCAACCAGGACGTGTGAGCGCAGCGAACGAGCTCCAACCTAAAGGTGAGTGAGCGTAGCGAACGAACTTCAACCGGGACGTGATTGAGCCATGAGAACGAGCTCACATATGAAGTTAAACGCGGCAAAGCCCGTGGGTACAGCTAGTCCATCTATATCTATATATTTAATACACAGTTGTAACACTGTTTTCTCAGTTATTACTGGACCGATCTACAAGGTTTATGTCTCAAATTAAAGGTGATAGTGTGTAGATTTGCCGAACTTCCTTAGAATTTACGTTTTTTATAAGGGCTACGACCTACAGCCCTTTAAAGGTCGAGTCAATACAATTCTTATTGAAGAATATAATGCACAGTTTATAAATTATTCGTCAGCTGTTTAATGTTTGTCAGACATTTGTTATTATTTTTATAACCTCACTTTCAGTATGCAGTTATTAAACTTGGAGTTTCTGTTTATTAACACACAATTTTGATCAAGGAAAGTGTATTTGTTAACTTATTTTTTAAATGTTTTAGTTTTCCTGCAAAGTGATCTGAAGGAAAGTGGTAATTGAGTTTAATTTTGAGTATGGAATGTGAAATAATACCCATAGTAGGGAACGGAACTTATTGTTTTGATCAATATCATTTATTCTCTACGGCCACCAGAATGATCATGGGGAAATCCGCTTGCAAGTTGTACATATAATTGCTAATGAGTGGGAAACAAACAAACATTTTATAGTAGGTGACGAATCTTACTCAAGATCAGTGTTAGACGTTCAGTGGTACCAAACTTTACCTTCTCGAGATGGCGAGTACGCTGGGATACGTGGAACTACAATATATCAGTGAATTTTTTTTTCAAGTACACAGGGATGTTGCTTGAGAAACTTTGACTTACTATTCGGTTCTGGCGAAGAAGTATGTGTCTTGATGTTTAATGGCAATGTTGACTCGGGTCATTATAGCGTTATAAAACTTTATCATTAACCCCAGGGTGTGAAAAGTACAAAAAGAAAAAGAAAAGGTAATCATTAACCGGTCGTAAAGAGACATACCGAACGAAAGAAATGTAGAGAACCATTGAACTAAAAAGGTAAAGAGCAGTGTTGGTGTTAAATGTGCTCTAGAAGTCCCTACAAAAAATACCAACTCTTTTGAATTGGGGTCGTTAGATTGGATTTGTCACTACTTCAAATCTATGAATTTCGAGTCAGAACAGACTAACTGGGACTCAAAAATGTTTTAGTTTTCCTGCAAAGTGATCTGAAGGAAAGTGGTAATTGAGTTAAAGTTTGAGTAGGGAATGTGAAATAATACCCATAGTAGGGGACGGAAACTTATTGTTTTGATCAATATAATTTATTCTCTATAGCCACCAGAACAATCATAGGGAAATCCGCTTGCAAGTTGTACAGATAATTGCTAATGATTGGTAAACATACAAACATTTTATCGTAAGTGATTAATCTTACTCAAGATCAGTTCGATGTCCAAATTTTACCCTCTCGAGATGGCGAGTACGCTGGGATATTTGGAACTACAATTTATCAGTGAACTATACCTTAACTATATTTTTTCGAGTAGGCCTACACAGGGAAGTTGCTTAAGAAACTGTGACTAACGATTTCGGTTCTGGCGAAGAAGTATCTGACTTGATGTTTAATGGCAATGTTGACTCGGGTCATTATAGCGTTGTAAAACCTTATCATTAACCCCAGGATGTGAAAAGTAAAAAAAGAAAAAGAAAAGGTAATCATTAATTGGGCGTAAAGAGACAAACAGAACAAAAAAAAAAATAGAGAGAGAACCATCGAACTAAAAAGGTAAAGAGCAGTGATGGTGTTAAATTTGCTCTGGAAGTCCCTTCTAAAAAATACATTTTTTTTTAACTGGGGTCGTTAGATTGGATTTGTCAGTACTGCAAATCTATGAATTTTGAGTCAGAACAGACCAACAGGGACACAAATATTTTTTTCCTTATGTTGTCACAAGGGGAAGGTAAAATTAACTCCTTATCAACATTTTGAGTTTATGGAAAATCTTATCAACAGCGACTATAAAAAGGATCAAGGGTCAAAAGAGACAAAAAACTATTTGAGTAAAATATAATACAAATCTGCATTTGAAATGGCCAGTTCTAAGTCTCACTTGAATCAACATCTTTCTGGTAGTGGTAGTCTACATAGTTTTAAAATCCACGATTCCTTTTCCATCAAATTGGACCGTTAATACCCTCTAACATTGAACAAAGTATGCCCAACTTCATATATACGACGTAAACACAGCTTTTACTCACAGTATGGGTCAAAGATTCGTGAAATGCGACCAACTGCTGATGCGTGATTTACATGTAGGCTAAGTGACTATCTTTATTCCATACAACAAATGCAATGAAAAAAACGACGAATATAGAAATATACTTGAGCAAATTATCTAAATATCATAAATAGCTGCTTATTAGGTTATCAGCATTGCCCAGTTCGTATACTATTTATTTTTCAAATGAAACTCGAATTAATATAAAACATTCATTTGGTTAAAATAATATATCGGTTCGATTAATATAAAATAGTTTATACAGGCAAACTATCAGCTCTATTTCATGTAAAAAAATAAACAACCCCTAAATAAAATACAAAGATAAACAGTTTTTGTTAATTATTATTTCTTTTGTTGCTGACAACATTCCCGTGGCGGAGCACGGGTGGTTAACTAGTATCTATCTATATATTAATAGGCAAGCATGTTTCTTTAAAACCTTTTTTCTCAGCTCGTGTGCATCGCAGGGAAAATCTACGCATACTGTTGGAAAGATATTTTCCTGTAGATGTGCAGCATGCCTTTAAAAATTAAAATAGGCTAACAAATAAGCACAAAAAATGAATTTGAAAACTTCAAAAAATTAACATGGACCATATGGGTTGCCATGATGGTGACGAAATAACAACAAAATGTAAACAGAAAATCAAAACAAAGGGAAGAAATTCCAATCACATGTTTTATTTACAGTGTGGGGAGAAAATAGAGAAATCTGTAAAATAATTATTTTTGGTCGAGTTTCGACCACAGGACGACCACTAGTACTTATTTAATACGCAAGCAGGTTTTTTGTGACAATTACTCCTCCGAAACTACTGAACCGATTGACATGTTTTTGGTGTCATTGGAAAGAGCGTAACGTGAAATTGTGCAGGAAACTTTTTTTTATGGAAATAATTAGAGAGTGAGGGCCTTGGGGCCCTTTAAAGTTTCGTATTCTTTATAAGATTAACATGGGAAACAAACATTGTTATGAAACTCCAGCTGCTGTCAGAAATTAAAAGTGGGAAGATGTGTTAACTGTTAAAAGTCATCATAATTTGCTAATTTAACCGTTTGCTACAAACATTGACTTACTTAGTTGAGATGAAATATTTTCTATTTGAATTTGGGTTGGCATTTCATAATCGAAAAAAGAGAGAGAGCCTGGATTAATTGATAAAAAAAAAATCATTGGCCGCATTTCGTACTTTTCTTAGGGCCAACCTTAATTAAATGTAACAGGAAAAGCAAAGTAGTGTATCTCTATACATAACCAGAATCGTTAGAATAAATTAATTAGAAATATAGGATACAAATCCACGTACAATTAGTGCCTGGATACAATGCATCACATAGGTAGAAGGTGTTAATATGATTCTAATTCACGTTTATGGATTCTCAGACGGTCTTCTACAATGAAGTGCAATGAAAAAGGACGCCATATAAAATGTACAACGTGTATGGTAAGCGTTTGAATGATTATATAAGTTATTTTACAGAAAATTATCACAATCGAAAACTTATTTTGAATAGCATCAGTCTTTTAAAATCCAGTAGTTAAAAGTAAATATAGTAATGCATACCAAAATCAGCTCTTGAAACCACGATAACCCCCGTAAAACACTCCGAAAAAAACAAAAACTATTAAATTACTAATTCTTAAATAATGCTAAAATGTATTTTGTGTGTATATAAGAATGTTCTGTTCGCAAATCCATACATTAGTCACAATCATCTAGTTTATATACATCTTAAGTTTATAAAACAAAAGCGTTTCACAGTCTTTGACTCTAATCATTTACCAAGTGAACTGGGCCTATTTTTTTTCAAATGACTTATTAATTAACTTGGTGAGAGAATCATTTCCCTTCTTGTTTGTGTTGTGGCAACCTTTTTTAAACATTTTTGACGTAGAAGTCTGTTTTCTGTCATAAACAACAATTATTTGAGTACTGTAGCATGTATTGTGTCACATAATGTATCAAAGTTCCGAAAACTAAGATAAAATCATAGATTACAAGAAGTAGACACCAAAATGTAACATTAAGCAGTACACAGCATCTGGTAGACACATTTGACTGGCCCACTTCAGTTGTGATGTCCGCGTTAAAGCAAGTGAAGTTTTCCGAAGATTAATATTGGTTCTGGATCACAGATCATGGTTGTCCATAAATGTTCAGTTCTTGTATGGTTATGGACGAGTTAGTTATGAGTAGTCTCAGTGGCTCCAGGCTGGGAACGTCCACGATCATGTCGTCATATCTTCTCGCAGAGAAGGACGTTCCTCTCGTACGTTTGTAAATGTTCTTCGCTTCTCGCAGGGTTTTGCAGAAGTTTTTCATTCCTCCTAAAACATTTAGAGTGTCAATAGATGTACATTTTAACCCTGAATTGATATATTATTATTATCTTTATGGTATCAATACTATTCATTCAACTAATGCCCAAACTATTCTATGAGTCTCTTGATTGTCCAAGTTTGACAGGTTTGGGAATTGGGTAGGTAAGTGAATGCTGTTGGATCGTGTTGTTTACTCGTAATGCACAATTAAAATTGTTTTACCTTTTATTATTATAATATTACCATATCAATATAATTACTGCAGTATAATAAAATATGTCATGAATTATTTTTTCATTTTAATTTTTGCTTATAAAGTGTAGATTACAAATAAATTAAACTAGTAAATTTTTTTATCCCAACTAAATTTATATATTTTGAAAGATTTCCAAAACCCTTCATATCCAGTTTAAATGTGTTATATTAGATACTGTTAATGTAAAGAAAGTGCTTATAAAGCAAGAAACCACCATGAAAACTGATTATCAGACTTACCCACTTAAAGGAATATGATTCACAAACTTATTAGGATTGTTAATTTTTATCTATAACTAGATAAGGCTTATCAGATAAAAAATCTATTACTCTAGTCACCTTTATGGCCTTACTCTTCTCTAGTAATTGGATGTATGGGATTTTTAAGGGTTGAAAAAAGAGAATTTTATCTTTTATCTCGAACACTTTGGTCCAAGAAACTAAATTCTATAAAGTGTTACATGACTACTAATTAATTATTCAGTAGTAGTATATAAAGCAGACATAAATAAAATATAATGTATTTTTACATCGCGGATGTATTGAATTTGTAAGAAACACTCCTTACACATAGAGTATGTTTAACATGTACGCAAGTCCATTTCTTTTTAGCGAATTTCCCTTAAAGGGAATAATCTATTACCGTAGGTCTCATGGTAAGACCTAGACCCGGGACCGATTTACTTTTTCGTTTTGAGCTCCCCAGAGGCCAAAAACACCATCCGTTCAAATTCATATATATATATATATATATATATATATATATATATATATATATATATATGTCCGTTAGCGCGATAACTCGAGCAAAATTGATCCGATTTTGATGAAATTTGGTACAAACGTGTAAACCTACATTTATTCAAACGAGTTCGCGAACCAGCATAATCGGACCATGGGATCAGGGGTTTATGGGGGTTTTTATGGGGTAAAAATGGGTTTTTCTCATTTTTGACCCTAAAAACTTTAAATTTCTAAATTTCTCTCTAGACCATTTTGAAGAGCTTAAAAAACAAATAATTTAGTATATTGAAGTTTTTTTGAATGTTCATTGACTACGGAGAAAATTAAAGAAATTGTAAATTTAAAATTCCCATGTTATTCTTATGGAGAATAAATAAACTGTTCTAGTTTGCTTGTTTATGGATATATTTCAATCAAATTTGGCAATTTGGCTTATTTCATACTAAGCTATCAATATTTCAATTGAAAAAACACACCTCAACATCTTTCCCGTAGCAGCAAACCTAACTGCTCACTAAAATTAATGTTATTTAAATAGGAAATAAATCTGAACATTTATAGGGGATATTTTAGTAGAAATCAAGCCGGGTGAATGGAAATTCGCTTAGTATGCAGGTTTGCTGCGACGGGGGTATTTTCTTATCCTCACATACTCCAAGTCAACATGTCAAAACTCGCTTTTAAGCTGTATAAGATATAGTCAACCAATCAATTGGTGTGCATATGACGAAGAATTACCTGCTTTCTCGATCAGCTGTAAAAGTTCAACCACCAGGTCAGGTTGAAGATCGTTCTCATCAGGTTGGTCATCGTGTTGACCGTGGGCTCTGGAGCGTATAGGAGGATCTACTGAAGGAGGGGAAACGTCAACTAAAGGAGCTGAAACAACGAGCATAAAACATGGTTTACTACTCATCCAAGATCATAAAAAAAAATTATGAAACCAAAAATTTGATTTACGGCTATACATACAGTACTAGTTTCTTGAAGTGTAAGTTTCAATCATTTACCTGCAGGTCTGTACCTTGTAGTGGAGGGAGGTGTTGATGTAGTGGCCGGTGATTTTGTAGGAGGTTCAGTTTTCAACTTCTTTGTTGTAACAACCCGTGTTGGTTTTGGGCGTGCTACGGGTTTTGAAGTGCGTCTTGTTGGTTCCTCCGGAAATACCCTGGAAAGTTGAGTGTAAGTAATGTACGAATGTATGGCATCTTCCATGATTCCAGCGAATCTCGCTGTGGAGAATTTGTTATTACCATTGGTCTCATGATAAAACCCAGGACCGATATATTATAGATCAAAATTAACATGTTATAGCATTGACTATATAACACTATACAGGGTGATTCAAAATGAATGACCCAGTTTTAACACTTTATAACTTTTATACTATTATACTTACCGCTATAAAATACACATCAAACGAAAAAACAACTCAAAGAGTGTATGCTTTCCAAAGGCACATCATTTAACCAGCAGAACTGTAGATTTAATTGTACAAAGTTAAAAAGTAATCTCCAACTTTTTTTATCACTAGAAATTTGGAGGTAACTTGACGTTTTTGCAAATAACTTTTAAATGGTGAGGAAATCGACCAAAATGGAAGGTAATAATCTGAAAGAGAATAAAATTTCGTACGTTCTGCTAAAATGAATTATTTGAAAATACTCAAGAAAAGTATCAAAAATTGCCTCAAAATAAAAAAAAAATTGAAAATCCCCGTCTTCAATGTAGACAATAAACATAGCAAACATTAAATTTCACACTGTTTTTATTTTAAGCCAAATTAAGGCTACTTTTATTGAGTATTTTCAAGAAATGCATAATAGTAGATTGTAGGAAATTTCATTCTCTTTCGGAATATTACCTTCCACTTTGGTCGATTTCCTCACCAATTAAAAGTTATTTGCAAAAACGTCTAGTAACTTCCAAATTTCTAGTGATATAAAAAGTTGGAGATTACTTTTTAACTTTGTACAATTAAATCTACAGTTCTGCTGGATCGATTTTGTTAAATGACGTGTCTTTGGAAGGCATAAACTCTTTGAGTTGCTTTTTCGTTTGATGTGTATTTTAAAGCGGTAAGTTTAATAGTAAAAAAGTTATAAAGCGCTTGTTAGATATCAATTTCATTTAGTATAGCATATTATTTTTATTTCAACGCATATTTTTCCATTGCCCTGAGCTTTGGTTTCGCCGTTTATCTTTCTACCCATGTCCGGCCGATAAGGATGGAATTTCCCGACCTTTGTACTTTTCCATCGTACGATGTCCGGCCGCGGCACAGTCCGCTACTATTCCTCTCGACATTAAGTCACTTTTTCATGCAGCAATACGCTCACCGCTATCATAACCTTTCATATTATTTCATTACAAATCAAATTCAACCCTCATTAGGCCATAAAAGATCGTTTTTGTTTTGCCTTATAACAAGAAGTGAATTTTAAGTTTATTTTTTCGTGTACATAAACTATTTCTAAAGACTTTAAAAAGTGTGCAGTGCAATCCCGGACAGGACGACATGACGCCAGCAGGTGGGGTACCCCAGCCGTGAACACCTTTCTACAACTACAAGGTCGGTGGAAATCTATTTTGAAATATAATAGAAGCTGAAGTCAGTCATTATAAAATTGAACTATTTTTAATCTCATATTTAATATAAAACGATCTTTTGAAAATAAGCTAATTTATTTCTGGGTAGGCCTAAGAGCTCATTGCTCACGTTTTTATTCTATCATATAATTGGTCCTTTCGAACCTGATCATTTCATCATTTGTAGGACTGGCCTAGGGAAAAATATTTTCTCATATCTCATTCTAATTAAAATTCAGTAAGAATTTTCTGTCGTAATTATTACGAAAACATAGCCTACAATTTTCATGTAATTTCCTGAGAACGTCTCAGAAGGCAATCCTTGTAACAAGCCGCCATTTTTATTTTCCATCAAGCTAAGCCAATCGAATCGGCTTTTTCTGTAACCATTTATATTTCTCCTCCCCCATATCCTAACCTCCTACGTCATAACCTGATACGTCACAGCTGCTTCCACTGCCTCATGCCACTGCCACTACGACTGCAGCGACAAGAACACAAACAGCTGTTAGACCTGATCATGGCAGCAGCGCTGTCAAAATTGTTTGTTTACGTTTGAGAAAATGGAAGTTCAAAGTATTGGAGATAATTACAACTTATGAAGTATGTTTCGGCAATAATCATGTCATCTTTAATTTAGAATATTTAAGTCTCAATACTCATTTAAAGGCTCAATATGAGGTTTACAACTTTTGTTAAACATTGTGAGTTGATCGAAATAAGACTTGAAGCCATCAACAAACAAGTGGTAAGTCTTTCTGAAGTTAGTATTGTTAATGAGTTAACCTCCCAACAAATTAATAAGCTTAAACTATTGACAAAAACAGCTAATCAAAAACACTTTGAGTTTGAAAAACATGTTAATAAGCTTTTTTCTAATATTGCTTCCATTGAGGATATAGACAATAACAAACTAAGTGGTTTTCAAGAGAAAATATCAGATTTATATATTAGCATACAGTCAGCTTGTGATGCTTTGTTGCCTGCTCCTACACCTGAACAACCAGGCCTAGGCCTAAATGATTCTGATGTTAGCACAGCTGGTCCAGCAACAGAGGTTAAGTCTAAGACATCTATTAGGCTACCTAAAATCAACTTGCCAGTTTTTTCTGGTAGGGCTGAGCACTGGATAGCCTTCCAAGGCATATTTGAGACTACCATTCATCTAAATTCATCACTTTCAAACATAGAGAAATTTTCTTATCTGCTTTCTTGCCTGTCTGATGAGGCACTTGACCTTGTTAGATCCCTGCCACTTAATGCCACCAACTATTTGATTGCATGGGGAAATTTACAAAAAAGGTACCACAATATTAGGCTATTGGTTACCCTCCACACAAACAAGATTCTTGACCTTCCGCAGGTTCACAAACCCTCTGTTAAGGAGCTTAGAAATTTTATATCAGCTTATAATGACAACTATCAAGCCCTAAAGGCCCTTAACCATGATATTGCAGCCAATGAAAGCCTAGTTCTTACTTCACACTTGTTGCGTAAATTCGATCCTGAGTTACGTGCTGAATTTGAACGAAAAAGGGAAGACTCTAAAATTATTCCAAACATTGGGGAATTTTTAAAATATCTTGAGGATGAGTGTATTCAACAAGAAGCAGCATATTTAAATAACTTGCCAACTTCAACCTTTTCATCTACTTCCAAGCAACCTAATGCGTCTAAAATGCTACAACCGAAAAATCCTTTTTCAAGGCCAGGTAACGTAGCAAAGCCTAACAAGGCAGTACTAATGTCAGTTTCAGCTGGTAAGCAGCAACCATGTTGCGTCTTTTGTAATTCTGCGCACAACATATTTCATTGCGAGAAATTTGGAGTATTGATTCCTCAGAATAGGTACAATATTATTAAAGAGAAGAATGTATGCCTAAACTGTTTTGGAAATCATAACACAGGATCTTGTAGATCTATTTATTCTTGTAAAAAATTCAAGAAAAAGCATCACTCTCTTCTTCATTTTGAAAAGCAGGATCAGAATGTACAATCTAATAGTGCGACACAATCAGTAACTTTAGCCACTTCCTCGACCTCTTGTATCAGAGGCCTAGCCAATGACCTTGGTAACACTGTGGTTGCTACTGCACAATCTCAAAATAGTATGATACTTTTAGCCACAGCTCTGATTAAGGTGTCTACTGAGAATGGAAATCAGATAGTTGTACGTGCTGTACTAGACAGTGCCTCTCAGGCTACTATTATGTCAGAGTCCTGTGCTTCGATGCTTAAGGTTAAGCGCACCTTATGTGGTGTGACTGAAATAACAGGCATATCTTCAGCTCAAATCAAACCTAAAGGTTTAACAATAGTGAATTTTTCTTCACTTAATGGTACTATTTTGGCTTCTTCACACTCCGTCTTAATACTAGACAAAATCTCTAACTACATGCCTCGCATTACCATTTCACCTGATGTACGTACCAAGTTGAAAGGGTACACATTGGCAGACCCAACCTTTGATACACCAGGCCCAATTGATTTATTAATTGGGGCTGACCTGTTCACACAAACATTGTTAGGGCCTACAGTTGCACTTGGCGACAACATGCCTCATGCTATCAACACAATATTTGGTTATGTCATTCTAGGAAACGTTCCTATCATGCAAAGCCCTTCTAACTACAGTGGGTTATCTACTCTACTTTCTACTAATGGTGTTGACCTACACTCAACGCTCCAACGTTTTTGGTCCATCGAAGAACCTCCATCAATTTTGAAATTGTCACCAGAAGAAGAAGAATGTGAACGCCATTTTTTAGATAATCATTCTTGAGATAGCACAGGTAGATTTGTGTGCAAACTACCATTCAAAAATGACCCTTCAAAATTAGGAGAATCTTCTACAACGGCAAAACGCACTTTCCTATCTATGGAACGTAAATTTCAGTCTAATCCTGAACTTAAGGACAACTATATAAATTTCATGGAAGATTATAGGCTCTCTGGTCATATGAAACTTTGTGACAAGAATCTAGACCTTTCTAGGCCTCATTGTTTTTTGCCTCATCATGGTGTGTACAAAGATGGTAAGATACGAGTTGTCTTCAATGCGTCTTCACCTACGTCTACAGGACTGACTCTCAACAATATTTTGCACCCAGGTCCAAAACTTCATAATGAGATTAGAGACATTATTCTTCGTTTCCGTCTTTTAAAGATTGCCTTTACTTGTGACATTAAACAGATGTTTATGATAGCCATCCATGACGATGACCAACCTTTTCAGCTTATTTACTGGAGAGAAAACCCTTTAAGTCAACTTGATATTTATCAATTAACCACAGTCACTTTTGGAATGTCATCATCACCATTTCTCGCAAACCGAGTTATTCAGGAGCTAATTAAGCAGGAGGGAGAAAACTATCCCATGACTTCAAAATTCCTTCGGCAACAAATTTATGTTGATGATGCCCTTTTAGGCGCAAATTCTATCCAAGAAGCATCGCAGTTGCGTGATGAAGTTATAGCTATCCTTAAAAAAGGTGGTTTTGAGCTGCGTAAATGGGCTTCGAATGATTCACAGATATTAGGAAACTTACCTAAAGAACACTGTGTAACTCCTGTTGTATTAGATCAACATGCTGTTGGAATTTTAGGATTAAAATGGAATCCTGATTCAGATCAATTTTCTTATTCAATTGAGAAACCATCCTCCTTGTTCACCAAGAGATCAATTCTTTCCACTATTGCTAGAATTTACGATGTTACTGGAATGCTAGCACCGCTTACTTTCTGGGCAAAAGCTTTAATGCAGCATGTGTGGACATTAGGGCTTGGCTGGGATGATCCCCTTCCCTGTGAAGTAGCAGATCGATGGTCAACATTTATTAATGAGCTCCCACTGATTGAAAACTTAAAAATCCAAAGATTCAAATCCTTAGAAGATGCTGTAGATATCCAATTACATGGGTTTTCTGACGCAAGCGAATTAGGCTATGCTGCTTGTGTATATATTCGCACAGAAGATGTACAAGGGAATATTGATGTGAACTTATTAATTGCAAAATCAAAGGTAGCTCCACTGAAGCGTGTTACAATACCACGGCTAGAACTATGTGGTGCTCAAATTCTTGCAAACTTGCTACATTACTGTGCTGACAAGCTATCTGATCAATGTGAAATCAAATCCATTACTGCTTGGAGTGATTCCACCATAACCTTGTCATGGATTCATACGCCTGCCTACAGGCTAAAGCTTTTTGTAGCTAACCGTGTTTCTCAAATCCAGGAATTAACCCCTTCATGTATCTGGAAACATGTTTCAACTAATGAAAATCCTGCCGATTGCGCCTCTAGGGGTTTTACTGCCGCTCATCTAATAAATAACACCTTGTGGTGGTCAGGTCCACACTGGTTGAAAACTTCACCCTCTTCTTGACCTATAGCTCGTTTCAGCGTCTTGGAAGATACCCTTCCAGAAATGAAGCCTACTACCATTAGTCTTCTCACAAGAGAAGAAAACCAAACTTTTGACTTTATTACTGCTCCAAAATACTCTTCATGGACCTCATTACTACACATTATGTGTTATGTTCTACGCTTCATTAAGTGCCTAAAGAATAAATCAAATATTACGCATCCTTTGACACTTGAAGAAATCGAGGAATCTGAGAAACAAATTTGGTTATTAATACAAGCAGAAACATTTTCTCAAGATATTGAACTCTTAAAGAAGAATAAAACTTGCTCTAAACGCCTACAAAGATTAACTCCGTTTTTGGATGAAAGTGGATTAATCAGAGTTGGAGGTCGGCTCAAACACTCCAATCTTTTGTACTCAACCAAACATCAGATAATTCTACCTAAGAATCACATAGTGATTAATCTTTTAATTGACCATTACCATAAAATCAACCTTCATGTTGGACCTCAACAGCTTCAAGCTTTCCTTCAAGAAAAGTTCTGGATATTAAACGCTCGAAGTCTTATTAGGTCTAGAGTGTTCAAATGCTTGAAATGTTACCGAGCCAAACCTAAGCTAACAGCCCCTCTCATGGGAGAACTTCCTGCAGCACGTATCATCCCTTCTCGCTGCTTTAATATATCAGCCGTAGACTATGCTGGGCCTTTCTCAGTTAAATTTTTCAGACTCCGCAAGACACAACCTTTGAAAGTGTACCTTTGTCTCTTTATTTGTCTTGCTACAAAGGCAATACATTTGGAAGTTATTACTGACTTGACAGCTGATGCTTTCATTGCTTCATTAACGAGATTCATATCTCGAAGAGGTTTAATATCTGAGCTGTATTCTGACTGCGGTACTAATTTTGTTGGGGCTGCATCTTCCCTAAGAAAGTGCTTTGAAGATCTTATGCGCAATCCTAATACTCAAAAGTTTGCAGAGAATCACAGAGTTCAGTTTAATTTCATACGACCAAGAGCTCCTCATCAGGGAGGGCTTTGGGAGCGAGCGGTGAAAAGTGCAAAATACCACCTTACCAGAGTTATGGGTGAACAAACATTGACCTACGAGGAATTCATCACTTTGACTGCTAGGGTTGAAGCCGTTTTAAACTCTAGGCCTATTACACCACTTTCAGCTGATCCTAATGACTTACAGCCTATTACTCCTGGCCATTTTCTGACAGGTGGTCCATTGACATCTCTCATTGAACCTCATTTGATAAATTCATCAACAAGTCATGTACAACGTTGGAAACTGATACAAGCCTTTACTCAACACTTCTGGGTTCGATGGCAAAGAGAATATTTGCAAACACTACAGGAACGTTCGAAATGGACTTCAAATGGAAGAAACCTACAAGTCGGTGACCTGGTCATCGTACATGAAGACAACGCTCCACCTCTCTCTTGGAAGATGGGACGAGTAACTGCAGTGTTTCCTGGGAAAGACGGCATAGTACGAGTGGTCCAACTCAAGACCGCAAAAGGAACCTTAACCCGACCTTCCGTTAAGGTATCCTGTCTCCCAATCCAATAACTTAACTTGCAACGCCCCTTGCAACCCTCTTATTATTTTCATTATTATAAGGCCAATGAATATTTCTTTTCTTTAATTTTCTGTTGAACCAGGTTGGTTCAAGGGGGGCGATATGTTAGATATCAATTTCATTTATATTATTTTTATTTCAACGCATATTTTTCCATTGCCCTGAGCTTTGGTTTCACCGTTTATCTTTCTACCCATGTCCGGCCGATAAGGATGGAATTTCCCGACCTTTGTACTTTTCCATCGTACGATGTCCGGCCGCGGCACAGTCCGCTACTATTCCTCTCGACATTAAGTCACTTTTTCATGCAGCAATACGCTCACCGCTATCATAACCTTTCATATTATTTCATTACAAATCAAATTCAACCCTCATTAGGCCATAAAAGATCGTTTTTGTTTTGCCTTATAACAAGAAGTGAATTTTAAGTTTATTTTTTCGTGTACATAAACTATTTCTAAAGACTTTAAAAAGTGTGCAGTGCAATCCCGGACAGGACGACATGACGCCAGCAGGTGGGGTACCCCAGCCGTGAACACCTTTCTACAACTACAAGGTCGGTGGAAATCTATTTTTAAATATAATAGAAGCTGAAGTCAGTCATTATAAAATTGAACTATTTTTAATCTCATATTTAATATAAAACGATCTTTTGAAAATAAGCTAATTTATTTCTGGGTAGGCCTAAGAGCTCATTGCTCACGTTTTTATTCTATCACAGCGCTAACTGGGTCATTCATTTTGAATCAACCTGTATATAGTGTTATATAGTCAATGGTTATAGTTTGGTTGCTTATTATTGATTAATTTAATCCTGTAATACTAAATTTTGATCAAAAACACTCAAACTTCCCTGTAGCAGCAAACCTAAGTACTTTCTAAATCTAATCTTATGGGAAATAAACCTGACATGTCTACGGAAATATTTTAGTAAAACTATAATCATTCAAATTGAAATTATCTTAGTCTGCAGGTTTGATGCAACGACGACGGTATTTTCCTATGCATCCAAACTTATACTGCAAACCACACTAATATCCAATTGGGCCTGGTTATATATGACCTGTGTGCCCATTTGGAATCAATCGCCATTGTAATACAATTCATATATAGAGTGTCCAGAACTCTCTGTAACCCTTTTGTAAAAACACCGAAAAACACCATATAGACATGGGTCTAAAATGCCTGATTTTCTGGCTGTGTGTCTGTATGTGATTTACACAAATGAATCCATAACTTTCGTACTTCCTTAGCGATTGACTTGAAGTTGGTACGTAAGTAAAAAGTAAGTTTAATCTTTGCACAAAGTATCAGATTTATAAATACTACTAATCCAAAATGGCGTTCATATAAAATCTTCTATCACAGATATCTATAAGTAATGACATAAACAAATAACTAGAATAATCACTTATAGTAAATTTAATAACTAATCCATCGGTACCTAAGTTGTAAAGATCAGTTCATAAAAAGCAAGATAAAAAACACTGTTGCACCGCGCCACGTCACGTCGGTGAGGTATGGCGGGGTGCACTGTACCATGACGGTCTCACAAACATTGTTATATCTGGGTTGTTTATTAACCGATCCTTACAGCTTAAGTACTCTTGGATTAGTAATTATATTTACTAAAAATTCTTAGCCCTGATACTTTTTTTAATAATCACTTATTTTTAAGATATTTAAAATAAAAGGTTCCAGGATCCGAAACCTCGCCATCACTGCCTTGGGCCCGAAGTCCGTGACGCTACCTAGTAGGATTAAACATTATGACGCTACCGACTAGTGCAAAGATTGTACGTACGTTTTAATTCTTACTTACCAAGTTTCAAATCAATCACTTAAGGAGTTTGAAATTTATGGATTTATTTGTGAAAATCACTTACAGCCACAGTCAGGAAACCAGGCATCTTAGACCCATGTTTATACAGTATGGTGTTTTTTGCACTGTTTTGACCAAAGGAAAGAATATAAAAACATGTTCCAGGACACCCTGTATATTTGATATCCTTTAAATCTTTACAGTATAAATGTTTACAGTAGAAACATTGAAGTATTGAAGTGTTGGAATCCGCATTTAATTATTTTGTAAAATAGCGCATGCAGGTGAAATGATAATAAAAATATATTTATCAGTGATTACTACTTTAACGCGACCCCATACTATTCATTACTTTAGCTTTGCATCTCTTAATTAAATTGTTCATAGTGAACGGGTAAATTTATAAATTTTCAAATAAAGTAGTTTTTTATGGTTTTATGGTACATGTAAGATTTTACGTAGTTTGTTGATATACTAAAACTATTTTTTTCTCCAGTATAATTTAAATTAACAGAAACAGAAGTGTTACATTAAAAAGCAACCCGTACATACACACGCATATAATACAGCGGCTCAAAAATTGGAAATAATCCTGCTTTAATGCTTGCATGTATAAGTTTCATTATATTAGCTAAGATTACTTTACATTGCGCAACATGAAAAGTTAATGAATCTTTCTTGTATTTTTACGAAAAATGCTTGAGAGTCCATACTCACATCACACTCTCTTCTCGTGAAGGTATCATGTTCAGTTCCTCCTTGGCAGCGTTTATCAGAGGATACCTGTTATTGCCACAGGACCCCAGGAAATCGTCGTAGTCAATAGTCCAGAACACAACTCCTGCGAGACCTTTCTGCTTGGCGTAGCGAGCCTAGAGACAAAAACATTATGATAAAAAATTAGAGTACAAAATCAACAGGTAATTTAGATTATTCTCTAGATGATGGAGAGAAGTTAAATAGCTAGTACCAGGGGACCAAGCCATGGCTCGGTATAGTTGATTTCGATTATAAAAGCTATAGGCCCTATAGCTTTATAACTGAAGGAAACTCAAGTCTTATTTACAACTAATTTGGGATTTAATTATTTAAGTTTCAATTTAATTTCAATTTATTATGATGGAAATTTTAACCTGGCAATCCACAGCACATTAATTATCATACGGTTCACACACTCCGCACTACTCACCTTTACTACTTTCTTCACCTCTTTCTACTTCGTGGACCTGTTTCCCTCCCTTCCTATAGCATATAAGTATTGCAGACACGTTAATCTAAATGTCTTGGATTTTCGTGCCAGAGCTACCAATTAAATTTATCAGTATATTTAGTTGACTATGATATTGTACCGGCTCCTTCTTGTTCTGTTTTATGCGTTCCACGAACAGAACTCTGAAATTTATGTGGACGGACAAGTGCAATCTGATAACTCTTAAAAAGTACTTTGATTCAGTAAGGGTAACAATCTAAATAGGCTTATATTGTTGTAAATCAACGTCAAAAATCACCTTAGTCCGGACCATGTTGGGATCATCGTAGCCAACCCATTGGTTCCCCTTGTAGGCGTGTGGTCCAACAGACCCGTGTGGTTTACTGTGCGCCACTGTCCAATTTTCGTTCTTAATCTTGGAACAAATCTGAAGAAAAAAACAGTTAATATTATTGTTTTGATACCACTGTACAAGTTCGATGTCTAATATTTTATCCCTCAATCACATCTGCTAGATACAAAAACAACCAAATGGTTTAATAAAGGGAAATAATTATACTTTGTGCAGCTATTTACAATCATTAATAAATAAATTAATTAAAATACACAGAATATGTAATTTTCTTAAATTTGAATTGGTGAAAGAGTAATAGACAGACAGTATTTAATTTAGCTTCTTATGTAGGTAGTCATGTAGTTAACATGTATGACAAAAAATTAACTAATTGTTTAAAATCTATATTGGATACTACCTCGAAGTAAGAAAAGAAGCCATCTTCCCCTGTGAAAGGGCCTTTATCGCCAGCTCCGTCGGCTTCGGCGCCCAGGTCGGTGTCTTCAGGATCTATCAACCTCTTTGTACGACCATATGTTGGGATGCCGAGGACCAACTTTTCCGGAGCTGCTCGCTCTAAGAAGTAATTGATAGTGTAGTCCTGAGGAAAGAGTTATAGAGCTATACTAAAAACATATAATAATATATAATATTAATAGAGGTAAAGCCAAATAAAATTAGACTTCTATAAATTTTTTAAGTCATTCCAGTATGTTTTGTTTTCGTAATGGAATTATCAATGTTATTTGGTTACTCATCACTAAATTAAATTTATGCACCAAGACTAAAAAAAAATAGCTTATTTCGGGGTTTTATCAAAACCCATTTTCAGCCTCTGGTAACATGATTGATAATAACCCGAAATATAGGCCTACCACATTTTAGTACGCCTAATTGTGTATAATTTTAATTTAGTTATGAGTAACCAACAAACCAAGAATAATACTTTTTAAATATCAAATAGTTTTTAGTATTCATTTATTTACTATTCAAAAAAGCACGCAAGATAACGTATTTCAAACGTAAACGATAACGCTTCTTATAAAATGAAGATTTAAGCACTCATGGAAACACAAAAAATTCTCATTGCTCGAGGTGATATAGGCGTATATCTTGTATTAGCAGAATATTTATAACTTCTTGTATAAGCAGCACAATAATATTAGATAAAAAAATATAAAAATACAATATCAAACTGAAAATAATACAGCAACAACACCTTAGCTTAGATTTAGATTAATAGCTATATCAAACAAACAAACACTGAAAATATCTGAATGAGCATGATTTTAAGCACATTATTGACTCCCTCAACCCTCCTGAAACATAACGTGGATTATTTTTTTTTCAACCTGCATGGGTAAAATTGCTTAGCTACGACCGTTTTAAACGAGCCGTTACAATTCAGTTCTTAGATTTGAAAAGGTTCACTTAACAGCATTTTTTGAAGTCAATTCCTACGTATCAGTTACGAGGTCAGTCACATCAGTCAACAAAAATATTCTTTAATAGATTTTATATTGCGCTATCTACACTCATCCGGTGCAGGTCCGTCAGTTGCTATGCAGGTGTCTGTCAGGCAATTTCAGATTTCTTCCCACCAAGAACACATGACAGACGTATTTGATGTCAGAAAATATTCTTTTTGTTATTTAAATTATTGTGTTTATATTTTAGATACTGTACGCAACAATGAACAAGATGGATGGTGATAGACTATTTTAATTGAAACATTTTGACTGTAACATCACTGTAAATAAAGTGACGGAAGACTGACTGAAACTACTATGACTGACTACATTTACAATATACGAAAATAGGGTTTCAATATATATATATATATATATAATATATATATATATATATATTAACACTATAATGTTTTATTTTCAAAATTTTAATAAATGTATATTATATTATATTTATATTTATACATTGCATTTAAATTAATAACATGCAATTAAAAGAGCGTGCGTCACCTGTTTACCGTGCTAGCTTTGAGACTTCTAGCACTGAGCAGCTCGACTACGGTGTTGCCAATTTTACCAGGCCACGCCCTGGAGCTTGAGGTGGCCGTGATAGAATGGTGTAATATGATCTATGTAGCTTTGTTACTCACTAAGATCAGCTATTTCACTAGCCAAGATAATTAATTTAAAACCCAATGATCAGGAGCATCGCTGGGTCCAGTTTTGACTCGAAAAGCTAATGACCTTTCACAGGATAGAACCAGCGACCTTTTGACTGCTAAACAAGCATTATAACCACTCGTTTTCCCACTTACAATGTTCAATTCTTTATCATCCTCGTCGTCCGATGTCGCGTAAAGAGGGGCGTGGTGCTTCACTACGGTGGTGAACGAGAACTGGTAGTCATAGCAGAGCACGCTGATGAAGTCCATGTAACTGAAAATAATTGCATATTATCTTAATATTACTGCACACTTCAACTGCACCTTGTTCATTTATGAGTTTGAACAATTCGTTGCAGTATGTATATGAATAACCTAAGATTAAAAAGAATTACCACGCGTACACATGAATTGGAAACAGCTTTTACGTGCAAGAAACATCGTGTTTAGGATTTCATAATATGTGTACTATGTGTTTTTACAAAATAAGTGGGAAAGGTAAGCTAAGTCGGTTTTCAAATTTAAATAACTACAACGAAATGACATGCCATTAAAAGTACGAGGTGGGGTTTTTTTAAGTAAGGGCCGTTTTTGCGTATGGATCCGTAGTTCACTTGTACGCAGCAACGAGGCTCTTCGATATTTACTTGCATCATTTGTGAAAGAATGACACCATGTTGCAGCTTTTTAGCTGGCATGTACGCTTCGCTGTGTGTTTCTAAAAATGTTTAAGCTATCGAATTTCTCCCTGCATGCAAGGTAAGGTCAGTGATACGTTGTTTGATTACAAGAAGCATATCCGATGCTGGCATTCTAGCAGATGACTGAAGGCTATGGCCCTAATAAAATTATGAGTGAGGGATAAGTGTGAAAATGAGTTATGAAGTGTACAAATGACCGTGAACTCTTTTTCAATTGTGGTCTTCTGTGAGAAGACCGAAAACACAATTCCTTCCGAAATGAACTTTTTACAGTCATTTTTAAACTCCCTAACATATTGATGCATTTTTTCCTGTTACCATTGCATCAGAGTTATAAACTTAAGCCATCAAACGATGAATATCAACATCGGATTGTTGAAATTACTTATACTGTAGTACTTTGTGTAATGGCAAAATGTTCTGCCTCCTAGAAACTGTCAAATAGTTAATAGTTTAATACCATATGTTTTTGGTTTTGTGTTATGTAAATAAGATCAATAATGAAGAATGGTTTAAATAGGAATAAAGTTTGTTGCAAGTTCATCTATATCCTTATTTAAATGTTAAAAGCTATAATTAAAAGTAATAAAAGTAAAAGTAAAACTACAAAAATAACAGAAGGTTATGGACCCAGTCCCAGTAAAAGCTTGTAACAATAACTAAAAATATTTATGTGAAAATAAAACAGTAATAAGGGTAAGATGACATCAGTAAATAGTGATGAAATAGTGTGCATACAAAAACTGAAAGACTCTAGCACATTTCCTATGTGGCATTTTGAGGTAAAAATATTATTCACTGCAAATAAATTAATGGACATAGTGGATGGAACAGAACTTTTGGCTGAATGTGGACGTGATACAGACAAAATTGAGAAATGGAAGACAAAAGATGCAACTGCTAAACATGTAATATTGAGAACAGTTGATAACAAAGTGAAAGTCCATCTCATGCCATGTGAAACAGCAAAAGAAATGTATGATACACTATTGAGAATATACAGGAAAGACACTGGTCAACAAAAATGTTTACTACTTCAAGATTTTTACAATTTCAAGTTTGACCAATCCAAAGATGTAAATACTAATATTAGTGAAGTTCAAAACATTGTTTGTAAATTAAAATGTCTAAATGAGGAAATCACAGAACAAATGATGATTTCAAAGATAATGACTATCCTCCCGGAACGCTTTAAGCATTTCAGCAGTGCCTGGGATTCTACTCAGGAGACAAACAAAACCCTCGAGAATCTTATTGCAAGACTGACTCTAGAAGAGGATAAAGTGAAAATATCAAGTAAAGAGGATGAAAACGTATCTTTTAAAGTGGAAGCAAATTATGGAGGTAAGAAGAAGAAAGTAATATGTTTTTCGTGTGGTACAACAGGACATCTTAAAGCAAACTGCCCAAAGAAATGGTGCTCAATGTGTAAGAACAATCATGATGAAAACAACTGTAGATTTAAAGTCTGTCGAATTTGTAAAAAGACAAATCATAGAGAGGAGGACTGTTTTTTTAGGAATAAAGGTAAGCCTGAACAAAAATAACAGAACGGATGAGTTTCTTATGGCAATCAACGTATCACTGACCTTATCTCAAACGCGGCAGTAGATTCTATAGTTTTAAAAATTTTAAAAGCACACAGCGAAGTGTGCATGCAAACTACAGAGCTGCAAATAACGCAAATGGCGCCAATCTGTTGACAAATGAAGTCAGTAAGGGACGAGGAGCTTCGATGCTGCATACGAGCGAACTACGTATCCAAACGAAAAACGGCCCTTACTTAAAAAACCACCCTCATAAAAAGCTGAAATCCAAGTGACTTAAACGTGTCTGGTACATTTAGAAGAATTTATAACGTCCCTTTTTCAAAACTGTTTGCCTTTGACATAAAATAAAATGTAACTTTACAAAGAAACATTAACCCTTGTCGTTGATTATCCCAGTTCTCAGCAATCCAAGTTGGCACTGATTCGTAAGGGTTGTGGAGTCAAGCCATCTTACCCCCCTCCTCGTATGAACATGACGTTGACTCGTTCACATTGTGACTCATTGACTGAGTAGAGTCCCTCAAACTCGCATGCGTTATCTTGGACGCTTTCCCACCTAATTTTCTAGAAACTTACTCCAGATAGCACTCTCTACTCACAAGGGCAGTGCACAGTAAACCATTTTTTTTTAATACGGTGTTGAGGTATTTTTGTGCCAACCTAGTGTTCAAATATAAAATGCTAGTGTACCTGTTGCTCGAATTCGAGCAATTGCTAAGTATTAGAGGCATTATTTTAAAAGGAATATCAATTATAATTTCTGATGACTTTAAAAGATTCAACTCAAAGATTATGGAAACACTCAAGATGTACATAACAGATAAATATCATAAACATTTATTGTAAATATCTGATCGTTTTAAAAGCAGGACTTGTTTTTGAGTATTTTCTACAAATAGCTTTACTCATAGTCGCATTAGGTTGTCCATAATAATGATTATAAATTCTAAAAAAAAAACAATAATTATATTTCTTCTCCTTAGTGGTGTTCTATGACATTCCTATGTTTCCATAGTTTGCAAATTGGCTCTTTCAATGATTACTAAGACATGCAGCACAGTGTTAATTCAGTTTTCTTTTTAATATATATAAAATTATCCAGGCTCTCTTGCCTTTTTCCATTTTACGCCAGCCCAAATTCAAATAATAAATATTTCATTTCAACCAAGTCATTAAATATTTGTAGCAAACTATTAAATTAGCAAACTTATTGACTGTTTACAATCAACATATGTCCTTCTTCTCGCTTTTAATTTCTGACAACAGCTGGAGTTTCATAACAATGTTTGTTTCCCATGTTAATCTTATGGAGAAATACGAAACTTTAAAGGGCCCCAGGGCCCAACTCTCTGATTGTTTCCCTAAAAAGAAAGTTTCCTGCACAACTTCACGTTAAGTTCTTTCCAATGACACCAAAAACCTGTCAATCGGTTCAGTAGTTTCGGTGGAGTAATTGTCACAAAAAACCTGCTTGCGTATTTATAAGTAATATCGATTTTTAGATAGGTAATTATGGTATTTTGATTGACTATCCTAAAAACAATGGCAATAGTTCATTTGGAGATTTAGTTCACTTAGGTTATGAGCATATTACGATTACAATTAATTTTAAACTTACTTGTTAAAGTTTCGTATGTCATAGGCAGGCAACGCTTTCTTCAACTGGGTAATGCTGATAGCCAACAACAGAGGAGCACGACCAGATATCACGGCTTCCTTGTCAAACTCATCTCTCAGATTCTAAAACACAAAAGTTATCATTATACTCTTGAAGGAAATACAAGAAGTAGGGCAACCTAATAATGAAAAAGAATGTGAAGAATATTACGGTGTTGAAAGGTTGTAGTCTCCATATTTCATTGATTATAAATGGCTTACTATCTTAAAATAATAACGTGCGGATTGAATCTAATAAAATACAGGGTTATTCAAAAAGAATTGTGCAAAACTAAGCGGCACGTCCGTTTTTGTCATTTCAAACAGCTGATTGTTACACCAATGAAAAGGGCGTGTTTACAAGTTTGTTTTGACAATTTTATGTTTGATCTCAGTTGCTTAGTTGAGTTCCACGAAGCCTGCCAACAAATGGTTACTACAAAACAAGAAATAGTTATTTTCCTACAGTTACCTGACAAAGTGGATTTCCTTGCACTGATTATAGAACGCCAAGTAGTTAATTAATATATTTAATTAATTTGCCGCACTCATTTTTTTGCCACCCTCCAGTATCAATCAAACAACACAAAACAGTGTGCTTTCATTAGGCACGTAATACGTGTACGCTTGAAAATAAGTTGCCAATAATTAAAGATACTACGACTACGATCAGCTGGTTCAGCGTTTTTCATTTCGTTCAACGCTTGGATTTAACCTAACCTAAAAACGTGTTGAAAGATTGAAAGAAGAAGAGTGTTTGAAAGATAAATTATTTATATGCTGTATGGTAACCGTTGGAAAAATATAATGTGTATATGTCCAGGCATTAGCAAACGATAAAATTATTACCTGTGCCAAGTACACATAATTTTCCCTATCTTCCGGTTTTCCTCCTTCTCTCACTGTTGGGTGTTGCCAGTTTAAATCAATTCCATCAAAGTCGTTCTCCCGTAAGAACGACACGACGTTTTTCGAGAATATCGACCTTGTTTCCTCAGACTTTGTTATCTCGGCAAACCCTGTTGATCCCTCCTTCCAACCTCCAGCTGCAAACATTATCTTCAGATCTGGATTTCTCTTCTTCAGCGTCATCAACCGAGGTTGAAGCTCAGTGAAGTTTCCTGAAAATAGTATTATTATTCATATATCACTTTTATAAACAGAACAGCTGAGTGACTAGGTATGACATGTTGTAAACAAGGTCAAGAAATCTCACTAAAGCCAAAATCTTCTTCCCAAAGATTTTCGTCCTTCCAAACAAGTATTTTCCTAGAACAGCGGACCCAGCTGTTACACAAACACAAGTAATTCCAAGTAATACTTTAGAATAGTTCACCTTTTTTTTGTATTTAATGTATGTTGTTTAATAAGCTTATTATTTGTATGATAAGGTTCACGTAAAGGGGACAGAATCCTTCCCTCAAGTGCCTAAATATTGTGATCGAAGTATAATAATCGTAATCTCTTTTAAACGTAAAATAGACCAATTACACCGTATTTCTAACGTCGATATATTGTAGATAAATAAATGTATTGATTGAACAAACCTTGAGTCGTATCGAAGTCATAGTTCTTGCCAAAGATAGCAAAAGCGTAGATGATATGGGTACAAAGGAAGGCATCGATGTCCTCAGGTTTGAAGTCGTATGGAGGATTCCTCCCAGAGCTCCAATAAGTGTAGTAGCAGATCACATGGTTACCAGGAGTAGATGCTGAGGTTTCGGCTAAAGAGAATATTTCAGATTTTAAAAATCATTCTATACACATAAAACTTAAGTTAGTGATTTACATAGTTCCCAAAGTTCAATTATGAACTCTTCGTAAGTGTAAAATAACACGTATTGCTTTACATACCAAACCTAGTTTAGTTAACGATGCATAGAGGAGATATTAATTCAAACGGACTTCTAAATTGATATAAACAAATTATTTCTGTTTTTTTTTTTTTTTTTTTTGATTGAGTTCCCTGTTAAGCTATGTTAAGCTTATTTCTTTAAAAACGATAACCCGAGTACAAATCACATGATTTTGAAGAGATTCCGAACAAACGTGTGCCCATACATGTATTCGAAGGAGTGCACGAACCAGCATGATCGGAATAAGGGAAAGGGGATTTTATGGGGTGAAAAATATCTTTTAAAACTTGTTTTTTAAGCTACAAAAAACAAATAGGCCTAATTGTGTATATTAAATCATCGTTGTACGCCTAATCCTCAAAATCTCAATTAAAATTCCTATTTAATAAATTGTTGTAGTGTGCTTCCTTTATGGCAAATGTTGACAAAATTTTGCCATTTTCTTTATTTCATATACTAAGCTAAACATTTCAATAAAAACACACTTTATTTCCCCTTTCCTGTAGCAGCAAATACTCATTACCACTAATGATATTTAAATAGGAAAATAAATATTTCAAGGGTATATATTTTTTTATTTCAGTACAAATCCAAGCAGGTAAATTGGAAAGGCTTGCTGAGGCGGGGGTATTTTAAGATATGCGGCTGTATGGCTTTAGGGCTGCAAAGCAATCGGTTACAGCGGTATGAAATGGGTAAAATCCGTTGGAAATTATAGGAGTTTAAGCCATTGTCTATGTAGCCAAAAATCTATAATGATCTATCTCAAATCTGGATATTTCCAACAAAAGTCCGAGGTCGAATTGAAATAAGAATACAGTTTCGACCATATGCCTTTGAAAATAATAATACTCTCTAATTAACTGATCAGCGCTCCAGTTTTTAATGACAATTATTGAATACAGTGCTAATTTGTTATGTCAAATCTGACAAAGGTTTTTATAGTAACCAATATATCAAAGCACAATGGACAACCAATAATTGTATCAAATGTTGTACAATTATTGTACTGTGTACATTTATGAAACTTCTCTCCTACTAATGGTCATGTAATTAAGTACTTTTGATTTTAAATAACCTTTTTCACCTCTTATAAAATTACATAAACCGTAAAATAAATAATAACACATATTAAGTGAATGCATCTTGAGTGGCTGTTACACTTAAGGAATAAAATATTTCATAACGGAACATATTCGAGACGGACTTGAATGTCCCAGACACACGTTACACGTCACACAATCGGATAAATCGTTCAGTTTTGACGTTCAATTACAGTTGCACATGACGGATGCAATGCCGTTATGTCAACTGACTAAATGATGGAATGCACTGTAACTTTCCACGTAAAAACAAGTGAATAGTTAATTGTGTAACTAGTGGGCGAAGTGGTACTTTGCAGAAATGTTTACTCACGACCGTAGGCGAGTGTGGAAAGTTTCTCGAGTGCATAAAAGGCAGTTTGCACTCATGTTACCTATTACATTTTCCTACAGTTACTATAAATCATATAAATAACACTGTATAACACGTTTTTTTGGTTAGGTTAAATCCAAACACTGAACGAAATGGGAAACACTGCACCAGCTGATCGTAGTCATAATTTATTTAAGTGTTGCCAACCTATTTTCAAGCGTACACGGATTACGTGCATAATAAAAGCACTCTGTTTTGTGTTGTTTGGTTGGAATACTGTGAGCTAAAGTAAAAACTCTGCGCCAAAGTAAGGCTTTCTGTACTATAAACCGTGCAAGGAAGCCCACTTTGTCGGGTGACTGTAAGATTGCCCTTTGCCTCATTGCTTACAAAACAGCAGTTTTAACAAAATTACAATTTAATATTTTTAATTGTTTGAACATGCCTCTTGACCCTGCAGTCAGTATAAAAAAAAATAAGACATAAGTGGTGGTACTTTATGTTTGCACGATTTGCTAGTTAGTAATAATACGGCTGCATCAACGTCTCAATTCAGCTTTACCTGTATTTCTTTCCAATTAATTGTAAAAAATTTTTCATGATTGTATTACGTTTAATTTTTTTCAACATCATTTTAGAAAAGTTTGCTTGATCCAATTTTTTTTTATCAACATGTCCAGTGCTAATATTTAATTGCTTTTGAGATAATTAGATAATTGCCTGTATACATAAAAACGTTTTGAAACTTAAGAATGTGAAAATAAGTAACTCCATATTTTTGTACATGAGTCATGAGTTATCTATTAAAGGTTGTTTTATCTGCATTATGCTATATAATACTTACCATGGGCTAAAGATATCAGGTATACCAATGCTAGAAACAGTACTAGGGATCTCATCTGAAAACAAAATCAAACAAACATGTTTTTACACTTTTATGACTTAAAATATGCAGTGGTACTGTATATGATCCATTTCTAACAACTTCCTATGATTGTTAATATTGCTTTATTTAGGAATTAATAACTTTCCAATACCTTTTAGCTTGAATAGTATAAGAGAAACGTTATGGATTCCAAATGACGTCACTGGGCCCATAGCTGTTTCGGCTGGTTTGTTCCATTTTTATTAAAATCATGTTTACTTTTGGACCAGTCTTGGTCGTCCATATGGCTTTTCCGTAGTGATGGCTCGGGGTTGGGGTTAGAAATAAGCCCCAGTAAAAAGGTGTCTTAGGAGTACTTGAGAAAAATGTATAAAATTTTGATCTAAAATGTTTGCTATTACAATTTTTTAAACCTAGACTAGGGGATAGTAGCAATTGTTGTCTTTCACCTCCGTTGTAATTTTGCGTTATCATTCCCTATGCTGTGCACCTACTGCTGTGCTAACTACTCTCGACGATGATGTATCGTAACCACGGAAGATGTTCTTGATTTTACCGTGCTCGTGGAGATGTTTACGGTTTCACCGACATCATGAATTATGTTCATGATTTTATTGTAAACCGCAGAACATGATCTAGATCTTGCTGTGACTACTGAAGGTGTTCTTAATTTTGCCGTGGTCGCGAAAGACGTTCTCGATCTTACCAAGACCTCAGAAAATTTTCTTTATTTTGCCGTGACTGCAGAAGATGTTCTCGATCTTACAGTGACCTCGGAAAATGTTCTTTAATTTGCCGTTACCGCAAAAGACGTTCTCGATCTTACCGTGACCTTGGAAAATGTTCTTTAAATTTCCGTGACCGCAGAAGATGTTCTCGATCCTGTCATGGCTGTAGAAGATGTTCTCAATATTACCGCGACCACAAAATATGTTCTTGATTATGCCGCGACCACGGAAGATGTTTCTGATCTTGCCGTAACATTACTTAAATGCTATGGGAAGAGGGAGGGAAACAGGTCCACGTCGTAGGACGTGGTGAAGGAAGCGGTAAAGGCGAGCAGTGGCGGAGTGTGGGAACCCTTTGTGGCACTTATATTAATGTATCTGCAACAGTGAAATGCTATGAAAAGGGAGGGAAACAGATCCACGTCGTAGGTAGTGGTGAAGGAAGTAGTCAAGGCAAGCAGTGTGGAGTGTGGGAACAGTTGTGCCAGTTATATTAAGGTATCTACAATAATAAAATGCTATGGGAAGGGAGGGAAACAGATCCATGTTGTAAGAAGTGGTGAAGGAAGTGGCAAAATCGAGCAGTGCAGAGTGTGGGAACACGTTGTGGCAGTTAAATAAATGTATCTGTAATACTAAAATTCTATGGGAAGGGAGGGAAACAGGTCCACGTCGTAGGAAGTGGTGAAGGAAGTGGTAAAGGTGACTAGTGCGGAGTGTGGTAACCCTTTGTGGCAGTTCGATTATATTATCTGGAATAGTAAAACTCTATGGTAAGGGATGGAAACAGATCCACGTCGTAGGAAGTGGTGAAGGAAATGGTAAAGGTGAACAGTGCGGAGTGTGGGAACTCGTTGTGACAGTTAGATTAATGTATCTGCAATAACAAATAAGGAAAATTTCCAAAAACAAACGGTAATCGGTTAAACTGGTATGTACAATTTTAAAGAGATGAATTTTCATTATACATTATGAATTTATGTTTTGTACAGGAACGATGGTTTTACCACCTATCGATAATTGTTGGAATTCCAAAACAAATTTTAAACCAATGGCTTCAGTTAATTAATGAACGAGAAGTGTTAATTAATGGACGAGAAGTTATGATTGTTTTTGACTGAGATTTTGTTTATTGCCCATACAAATAACGTTGTATTCACCAGTGACACCGGTAAGTGTGGGTGGTCGTGTCCATTGTTGCGCTCACGTTCACTTATCCCGATACGAGCAGAATCATGTAATACTAGTATATATTTCATTTTCTACTACTCCATTTTCATAATACCAATTAAGTTTATCGAATGGGTGGGGGTACAATTCCAGCCCGTACACAAGCCAAGCAATTCCACCCCGTACACATTTGGCTTTCAATTCCAGGGGGGTACAATTCCACCCCGTACGTAAATATTTTGATGTTGGCATAGGGTACAATTCCGGGGGGTACAATTCCAGGGGGGTACAATTCCGGCGACCCTCGACAACCACCAATGACTCATTCATTGATGCGTCGCGCCAATCACCGAGTGTTTCTTAACTCAAATTTAGGATTATCGAGGGCAAACTGTACCTACTTTGGTTGGTGGTATTTCAAAAACCCACCTTGAATTTTTGTGTGCTATTATGCTTTTTAGAGATATTTGACAGTGTTTATGTACAATTTGATAAATCAAGTTTTGACTAAGCCTCTTCATTTTTTTGTGAAACCACCTAAGGCTTCTAATATACGTTTGCATGTCGTTACTAATGTACTCGTACAAAAACAATAAAATATAGTTCATATAACCCATCATGTTTTGTTAGTTCTGTAGACATAGTTGATGGAGGAAAACGCTACTCTGTTGATGTCGTTAGCTTTGTAAAATATGTTTTGGGTTTAATAAGTTGTCCTAGGGCAAATGACTGTTTCTACTGTAAATACAACTTGTAACCTTGTAATGTTTTGAGGATTTTAAGGCCTGTGTTGGGGAAAATCTATTGTTAATATTGTGTTTAAACAAGAGTTAAACTTAAATAACCTTGGTAGCCATCCTTGATTATAATAATTCCCAAAATATTCGTTTTTCTTGTTTGATGACAAAATTGATATACCTAATACTGTACAATTTCTCTGTTACATTACTAAGAGGGTTCTGTTTCTACCCGTCCTACTCAACCAATCTATAGGCCCTACGATTGAGGTGTCATTATACAGCTTATGATACAGTGGAGTTACGAATGATAATTAAATGACAGCCAAGACAGTTACTCAACCTTTAGGCCTTCGCCCCTACCTTTGTTTTATTTCAAAGATCCAGTGTTGCTGATTATTTTTATTTAATAACAGTAATTAATTTTAATTAGGTCCTATCCTAAAATGAATTAATTTTGTTTAACCGATGGTTACATTCCGTTGTTTGTTTAACCACAATCAGAATGTAAGCAAGAGACAAACAGTTTATGAACATGAATGCTAAATAGGTAAATAGGCTACTTTTATTGATATATGAAACATAATTGAGATACGTAAATTGTACTCATTACGGTATATATCTACGAAAGACATACATTCAATGTTGCAAATTAGTTGTGATATTTGTATGGTAGAGGTATTCTTTTAAACAAATATTTAGTTTATATTATGTAGGGATTATGATATTTTCTTGGATTTTGATTGTTTTAACTATAAAGTAGTCATTGAAAGGTATTGTTTTATTCGTCTAGCCTTAGAGACAAATTTCTAGCCCTATTTGCCCACGGGTACCCTAGTTATTAGCGAATTTCCCATATAGGGAATAAGCTATTACCGTAGTACTCACGGTAAGACCTGGACCCGGGACCGATTTTTTTTTTCGTTTTGAGGTCCCTAGAGGTCAAAAACACCATCCGTTCAAATTCATATATATATATATTTATATATATATATATATATATATATATATATATATATATATGTGTGTGTGTGTGTGTCCGTTAGCGCGATAACTCGAGCAAAAATGATCCGATTTTGATGAAATTTGGTACAAACGTGTAAACCTACGTTTATTCGAACGAGTTCGCGAACCAGCATGATCGGACCATGGGAACGGGGGTTTATGGGGGCTGTTATGGGGTAAAAATGGGTTTTTCCCATTTTTGACCCAAAAAACATAAAATTTTGCAATTTCTTTCGAAACTATTTTGTAGAGCTTAAAAAAACAAATAATTTAGTATATTGAAGCGTTATAATGCGCCTAATGTTTACGGAGAAAATTCCAAAAAATTGTAAATTTAAAATTCCCATGTTATTCTTATGGAGAATAAGTAAACTGTTGTAGTTTGCTTGTTTATAAACATATTTTGCCCAAATTTGGAAAATGTTTTTATTTCTTACTAACTATTCACATTTTACATAAAAAACACTTTTACCCTCCCTGTTGCAGCAAACCTAAGTATGTTTTAAACTGATTCTATTTAAATAGGGAATAAATGTGATAATTTTAAGGAGACATTTTAGTGTAAATCCATTCAGGGAAATGGAAATTCGCTTAGTCTGCAGGTTTGCTGCGGCGGGGGTATTCTTTACTCTGTTGTCATAGAATTTTCTTAAAGTATTTATTCTGTAAAATAACACTCAATGAATATACTGACAAGCTGTGTCACGCCTCAGGTCACTTTTTGACATTTCAAACTCAAACTAATTGTAAAAACAGCATAGCCATTTTTTGAGTCCTCTAAATCTAGCAAGCGATGTTAATCTCTTTTAGAGTAGTTTTTTCTTAGAGGTAACCCACTCCCTGAATTTAATAATTAAATTCAGTTGTGTTCTCGTATGGAGTCTAAGAATGATTTTAGTCTCCGATACGTCATCTTATTTGTGTCTTTAAATTTTAAAGCTGGCATTTTCTTGGTAAACATATAATGTATTGTGGTAATAGTTTCGAAACAACCTTTTGGATAACTCAACAACATATGCTTTGATATTTTACATTAATTCTATTTAAGCTGTTTAATTTAAGTATTTTATACCATTTTATTTTAGCCGTATTTGTGGTTACTTTAATATCTTAAACAATTTTGAGCAATGTTTATGTTCAATTGATATTTTCTGAATCCAGCCCCAGTTAATCAATTAAATTTATATTATAACTTTAAACATATCGATAAGTCTAATGTGTTGTAGGAAGTTGAATAGTTAATAAAACTTTATATGAGTTATAATGTGCTACTTGTCCTATCAGTAGACTAAAGCACGTTTTTAGTCATGACAAAACCTTCCTTATCTTTCGGAATGTAGGTTAAGGTACTGAGGTGGAACTAAATATTAAATGGCCAAGCCACAAAAGACATTACTTATATTATGCTAGCTGAAACCTAAACTGATACAACATGTCCAGCTTCTAAATGAAAAACTAAAATTTATTTTCGAATTAAGTTTTAGTATAAGCTTACTAAAATCTGTAAAGCTTAAGGTTAAAACAGTTAATACCTGATTTTTTTATATTTCAATGACTTATGCTGACACAACTTAATTTATCTTCCTTTCTCTATTTTCCTTATTCGCCTATTTGGTCTGATGATGATTGAAGTGACGAATCGAAATCAATTACCAATTACAAACCAATATGTACTTACCGTCTTGTGAGTCAACAGTATAAGTGTAAATATATTATTAAACGTTTTATTAGACGTATATATATTTTTCAGGTCATTTAATAACACTATGATGTTGATCAAGAAGTTATTCAACTTCCTTTCATATTGAAATAGCTATCAGATGAGATACGGGTTAGATTCCCGGCAAATCCACAAAACTGTATAGACTTTGATCGCATTTTCTTAAAATCGTTTGAAATTTACGTCGTTGGGAAAATGCCTAAAAAAAAAAAAAGAAGAAACGGTTTCAATTATCTCTAATATTTTTTACTTATACTGTGCAGCCATCTTAGAATAGATATCCAACACAATCCACAATGTTGAACACTCAGTACGAACAATGGAGCTAAGAATAAACGCAACTATTTAAACTATTAATAGCATAAGTGAAACTTGACCCTTCCTTGTCTACTGACTAAGGTATGTTGTTAACCATGAGAGTATGTATAAGCCAACTAACCTTGCTAACTCCCCGTCGAGTCGGTCGACCACTGATAGCTTGTAGGGGGACGCGGGTACTATAACTGGCTCATCAATACTCTAAACCAGTTCTCCCCAGCGGCGTATGGGTTTCCTTAGACAACATTTCCTTATTGGGTGACTAAACATCATTTTAGGTTTTTGCACTTCCTTTGGCGGAGTTCGTGTAGATTAGTCATTAAGTGGAGCAGTGGGCTTAAAATTGCTATGAGTATGAATTTAAGGGTTTAGGACGTAGTATTTTTTTACATGGATTCGTCAATTATGAAACCAGTTCTCTTTTTTGGGCTTTTTGAAAATGAAAATGAACCTTACTTCTTATTTTTATTGTCCTTCTGTTGGGTTTGGCTTAGTGTAATTTTCAATCTTCTCACTGTTTTATGATTTGATATTACTTTCAACATAATTTGTCTGAGTTGAGGTACACGCATGTTAACAATATTAACATTTTAAAATGGCCTATCTCATCATCAAACACAGCAGATGCACGTTTTAATAAATTTATTACATTAAGATATTACATTAAGATCCAACTAAAATGGAATAAGATGATTAATTCAATACTTTTTTTTAAGACTTAGTAATCAAAATCGATTAGTCATCGAACAGTGTTTGACGAACACCAACGGTAGACATTAAAATCACGTACACAGAAAGAAATACTGGAGTGATGTCATTATAAAACAGGTATTTTTATTAACCAACTAAAAGGATGATGGTAGTATAAAATATACTAAATGCAGGTGATTTAAGGTGTAGCCTATTTATAGTAGTGTGTGTGTGTTTGTTTTTTTATTGTCTCCATGTTTTTTAGTGAGTTAAGGTGATTAGAAAAGAGTACTTCTATCCTTGAGGTCAATGTTCAAATCCAACCAATCTCCAATAACGGTTTGCTTTGTGACAATGTGGTTAGAAAAAAGTGGGGGCCAGATGTTTGGGAAATATGTTTTTGGAAATAGTCAATGGCTTGGATTCAAACTCTAACGTGGTAAAATTACAGAAGTCAGCAGGCGTTGATCTTTGGGTTTCTGGATTACTGGATTATAATCAGGTGAATGGACGCTATTGAATGAAACCAGCATTACCAAGTTATTGGAAATTTTGATTCATTTTCAATCTACGCTCTAATTCTGTACCCATTGTCATCTTAAAAATTGTCAGGATGTGCTGGCGTTGTAAATTGGTAAAATGTTCTGTCCTACCCATGCATTCCTTAGGTTTGGGAGGGTTAGGTGTTGGGTACGCTCTCCAGGGACAGGTTTATGCATTTACGGCTAGGTCTACAATGTTGTGACATTATAACATGGATACCCAATTAATGATTTGTTTATTGGTTAGATTTGAACCTGGGTACTTGGGAACCAAAACTCCACCGATACTGCTATATTAGCTCAACCCCATGGATGACAATGTCTTAGGTGCTATACTCCTAATAGTAGGCCAGGTCAAACCATCGATGTATATAATGTATTATACATCGATGGTTCAAACAAATTAAGAGTAAGAGGAACTTATATAGGCTTACCTCCGTCAGTAGTCCAAAATTGTGTCTTTTTCAACTAATGTTGTTCAAAGCTTACATGTTTCGTTGCACTGCAACATCGTCAGAGCTTTTTGTCAAAAACATCAAATGATTTACACATAAAACAAAATACGGAACACGAAACATTTAAACACGTAATAACACGATAGCGCTATCGACACGGCACGGCAGCGGTTGTAGGTAGACTGGCGTATTTTGTTTTATGTGTAAATCATTTAATGTTTTTGACAAAAAGCTCTGACGATGTTGCAGTGCAACGAAACATGTAAGCTTTGAACAACATTAGTTGAAAAAGACACAATTTTGGACTACTGACGGAGGTAAGCCTATATAAGTCATTATTCGTAGTCCAGGGGCTATCAGAATGAATAATATAGTAAGAGGAACTCTCTCTTAATTATTCACGATTAACTATAACAATTATTTTTAGTCAGATTTTACTTTCGTAATTCACTAATGTAAATCTGTTGAAGATGCCACTTAGTGTTGATTTTAGGAGGCAACATAGGTCCTGAGACTCATTGTATAACCTCAAATTATGTGGTATAATATTGTAACGATTAGAAGGTTATTTCCACAGTATGATGAAAATAGTCGTTCTTCACACGGAGTGAAAGTGTCTTTTTGGTACTTAATTGTATTTTCTCGCTTACACGATTGCGTACCAAAAAGAGCTACTTTCGCTCCTAGTGATGCAAACTACTATTACAGTCCATCATAACTTGCGAGCTTTGTGGTGTAACTATTGAAGCTGACATTCGTTGAGCGCCAGTCCCTTGACTCATTTATAGAATCATGAGTTATGTAGGTGATCGAGTTTATTTTCAAACTAGTTTATGTTATTCAACATCGTTGAATGACAAATTATTTTTATTCCCATAATTACCTAATTTCCCTTTATTTAATTCTGTTATGAAATTTCAATATTGTGAGAACGGAGCAAACAGAAATTGTATCAACATTTCCACAGTATAGCGTTTGGTTTTAGCCTCTTATATTCATTTTGTGACAAATAACGAAATCCAAAAAATGCATGTACAATCACTAAGCGGTCTTCGTGCAAGAGACACTTGTACCTTCCTCTTAATAAAATTGTTCTATATAAATGTAAAAAGGTAAAAAAAGTCATTTATATTTTTGGACTATTTAGGATGCGTTTATACGTTGACCTTGAAGTAATTATACCGTCTAGTGAACTCAACAGGAAACACGCGAACGATTGTGCAAGGCCGAATGTATTGGTTCTAGAGGTGTATTAGTGGACCAAGTGTTAAAAGCATTAAAACTATTCCCACTTCAGTAAAATTATATTAGTGGCGTTGTTAAGATAATCACGTCCTTTATGTAAAAGTAAGTGTCGTCTTTTGAATTAATTATTTAAAAAGTTTATTTTTGTATAAGGTCTCACCTTATACAAGGGGTTCTACCCTTTAGAACAACGGCTAGGACTTTCTATCATCCGAATAGAAATATTTAACAGTAAATGTATGAAAAAAAGGAGTGCACACTCAAGATTCATTCAAAAATTACAGTACTTATATTAAAAGTCGTGTATCTGTTACCGGCAATACTTTGAAAGCATTCTACAGAATGACTAGGCATTCTATACAATGCATTCTCTATCAAACATTGTAGCCAATATTTCATTTACGTAGATTTTTTGTTATCTTTTTAATGTGTAAGACTTCAATACATTTGACGGACAATCATTTTAGATAGAGAAGAGATAGCGAACTCTGGTTTTCACCGTTCTTCAAGTCTTTGCAAATACTTGAAAATGAGTTTAAGTGAAATGAGTTTCGTTCAAAAAATTTGAGCTATCCTCAAAGCCTCCCATTTTTGGCGGACCGCATTAAAAAATCTTAAAATGAAACTTCCTGCTAAGATTGTACGAAAACCAAAAGGATATCTCATTATAAGCTTGGAAAAATGTTATATGGGGGGTCTTGACTTTTTATTCACCCTATCTAAACAACACAGGGAACTACATCATTACTAAACTAGGAACGATTCATGACTGATGACATTTGAACTAGGAACTTCAGGTGAGAAATACCCTGCTTTATCCAATCCACAAGCCAAGCTCCATGTTCAACTATTCTATTTGGTTGTTATCAATAAAAACAAGTTATGATTTAAATTTGTAGGTCACATGATACTCAACGGTAATAAAGCATTTAACGAGTTAGAACTAAACATATCTGTTTTATAGTAAAATCTGTAATAAACAGCCACAATTGTATCATTTTCCTTGTTAGCTGTCTATTATTGAATTGAGAAATATTAGGTATAGGTTACAATCACCGTAAGGAACAGATGACCGTTGGTCATTTCAAGGTCACTAGTCACTACGTAGATCATGTGACCTTCATGTCCCTTGTGCCAGGATGTTCAATCCGATGTAGTTGTTGATTCTTAAGCTCTTAGGTATTACCGTTGACACCAAACTTACCTGGGATTCTCACATACAGAATGTTTGGACCAGACTATCTAGAGTGATTTCTCTTTTGTGGCATTTAAAGAGGCTTTTACCTGGAAATGTGTATTCTGCTTTGTTTAATGGAATAATTTCTTATGGCAATTGTGTCTGGGGGATTGGCCACAGTATTGATAAAATCTTGCGCTTACAATAAAGGCGATACGCATAATCGCAAACTCAGCTTTTAAAGCACACTGTAAACTACTCTTTGTCAGCGAAGAAATCTTGACAGTGGTCAGTCATTAACCTGTATATATTTGTTTGTCTATTGCATGCTAAGCAACATCTTCACGAGTATCCACTCAGAAGTAGTAGATGGTTATTGCACTAGGAACATGTCCTCACTCGTAGTCGAACAGCTTTATGTTCCTTTGCGTAAATCGCAATCCCAGCATCACTATGTATATTAATTTATTTAACAAGTTGCCTGTTTCTGCACCTAATGTGTCTTTCACTGAGTTTAAACTGTCTGTTTACAATTGGTTGGCTGCAAGGCCCTTCTACAAACTGTATTATTTTTTGAATTGCCTGATGTTAATTTTAAATTCTGACCGACTGTGATATAGCCAAGGCTTCGTTGTTTTAAAAGTATTTATTTGTCTGTTGTAAGTTTTTGTCTTTTAAATTGTTTATTCTTTTCTTGTCCCTGCTGTGTTGTTTACTAATAATTTATTATAAAACTGAATTGAATTGAATAGAAAAATTATTTATTGTTCTTTTAAAATACTGTACAACAGGTACAATACAATACACATTTATACACTAAGGTTGTACATAAGTATTACATGTTATTGTATTAATTCGAATATAAACTAAGACACGACACAATACTAAAATACGGACAAAATAAGACACAATACTCTTCACAACATAAATCTAACTAATTATTTTATTAAATAACGAACAATAAAGCCCTGAGGTTACAGAACCTGTGCAGGAAACTATTTATACACTGCTTGTATTGTAAACACAGAGCGCCTTTTTTCATGAGTATTCTAGTCTTTGCATGTTTTTAAAACCAACATTTTTTTTTTTAAGGTTAACTGTGGCACTTTGCATGTATTACACTGCACTAACTTGTTATATGTTTGTTCTTATCTTGCCCGTAAAGCTATTAGACACTCATTAGTTTTTAATGACGTTCATCCAAGCATGTATTTGTAGGCTACATAATGCTTATGGTGATTAACAATTCTTGATTTTTGATTCTTTATTCTTGATTCTGGCAGATAGGGGCTTTCCTAACGTAACGATAAACTATTAGTGTTCGCATGTTTACACAGTGCATTACCAGTATAGTAATTGAACGCATAGTTGCAGATTGCCATTTGTCATTTCAAGGTCACCAGTTGTCTCGTAGGTCATCTGACCTTGACCTGTGATGTGAACTTTGCCAGACCTTGCCACCTGAGAGAGAGGCTACTCAGCAGAGCGAGAGAAGTATTACAATTTTCACAAGCTGCAGAACATAATTGTAAATTTCACATGACGCAAGACGCATTTCTATATGCGTCATTGGGTTTTACGATTAATTGTAAGTACCAGGGGACCGAGCATTGCTCGAGTTGTTTCATTTGCTCCAGAGGTTAAACAATAAAATATAGGCTTTTCATACGTCAATGAGGTAAATGGATATTTATAGTTACTGTACTTGAAAACGGGAGGAATATCCTTACCTCACGAATCGTACAATGTGAGCTCGGAATTTCTCTCAACTACATTATTGTATACAGTGCATTTTTTTCCCTTTTTAATACCGTGTGGTTACATAACTGTGTATGTCGTTGCACACTAGATAGATGTATATATAGAAGTATGGTTGACACGAATGTAATTGAAAGTGTAGGCCTATGATATGTTTGGCAGAAACCTTTGTTGTCACCAATGTAAAGGAATTTCATCAACGTTTTAATTGAAAAGTTTTGTTCAAAGCAAAATTTAATTTGTCTAACTAAACTAAGAGTCTTTTAAAAACATTTATGGCAATCGCTGAAAGCAAGGGTTATTGTGAGGTTTGAAGACTTATATTACCAGCTCGCTATTTGGTGAATTTGAAATATATTGTTTATAACATTAGACACATTTACCAGCCATTAAATATTTCACAGAAAGATTTTGAGTAAACATAACCATCAGCTATTGTCAAAGTAACGATGAATATATTTTAAAATGTTTTAAAACTTTTCTTGTAGACCTACGTCTACAATTTTCCAAACAATTGAAACAAGCGCTAAATTTTATTAAGCATTTAATAGTAAATATTCTTCATAAAAACCTTTGTTCTAACTTTTTTTATGTTTGTTTTGTGACTTAGGCTTTCTTGACTTTATTTTCTCACTTTAAATTAAGTTAAGTACTTGTTAATTATATCAGGTATATAGTATAATAATTATAAGCTCTGCATTGTGTGAATAGTAGAATATTTTTCCTAATTTAAAGTAGGCTATAAAATATTGAAATATGCTATAAAAACTGTTCTTACTATTATTATTGTCCTTACAGTTTATTGCTCTCCCAGCTAGCCATTTCAACAATTAATTTCGAATATTGACAATCCGTATGGACAATATACTAATAATGTAATAATTTTTGATGTTGCATATCTATGAAATGTAATTTTGTTAATTCATAGTTGAAAGCTTTATTTCATAAAATAACGGGATAAATGTTTTCGGTTTATCTAAGAATTGATAAGTGTAATGATTATGGCGAGTTGCTATGCATACTAAGCGAAGCTTGGAAGCTGTACTGCAACAGAGACCAACCTTATATCACCAGATCTTTCAAGTGTTTTTGGATTGACATTAATCCAAACAAGTTTTGGAGGTTTTAACTACCAAATAATGTTTCGATGATATTACAAGTATTGTATTTACTTCATTGCATTCATTGGGATTCATGGGATTAGTCATATCTACTAGGAGGCTTTTTTACCCATTGTTTGCGTAGAAGAAACTATCAATATTATTTTCGTGATACATGTTACATGAAATACAAATATGACATGTTTATTATTTATAAATCCAACTATAATCATTTATACTTTATAGTGTACACAAATGCTAGTTTTGATCAATTCGATCTTGTTCGGAAAATTATTCGTATGATTCGATATTTTAATCGTCTCACGAGATAATGATGATGCGCGACTCGAATGTTTAATATAGTTAACTGTTTTATAGATTAATAAACCATACATACAAGTTCATGGGTCAAAAACAAGACAGGTAATAGGCTACTAATAACTTGGAACAATGTGAAAATTGTGACATGTATTCAGTGGCTCTAAAGCTATTTACAGTACAAATAGAGGCTGTTAACTAAAATAAATTCCAACTAAAATTTGCTTTTTAAACACTTTGATACAGTTTCCCTTATAAGGGTCAAGCTTTTTTGGTCAAGAAAAGTTCTTTCTTTGCAGCGTTGATCAATGGAAACTTCTCGCCGTTGCAGGAACCGACGAAGTCGTCATAGTCGACAGTCCAGAACATGACCCCCGCAAGACCCTTCTCCTTGGCGTACCTCGTCTGTAAATGTCACGGAATGATATGACAAAGTAATTAGTTAAGTGTATGAAGTGTATAAGAATCAAAATAAGAAAGTGATAAAGAAAAGAAAGTGTAGAATTATTATCTGATAATAATATGAACTAGTCTTTAGCCCTGAACTAGGGCCTAACCCTAAACAAGGGTCTAACCATTTAAAATAAAATTTGAAAAGGATGTCCTGGTGTCCAAGCGAGAGGAATTTAATAATTGATAATAGAAAGTCTTGAGTGAAAGCTGTTAAGCCCCTAAGTATATTGAGAATCAATATACTCAAACCTGTCATTTTCGTGGCAATATGCAACGTATGATCACTAAACCCAGGTTTACAAAACAATTATTGTAGTATTTATAGTGCAGTAAAAATAAGAGAAAAATTCCATAAACCTAAAAAAAATTAGCACAACCGGGGAATTTGGTACAGATGTTGGGTGTACCTTCCTTTTGAACATACTAAAAGTCCCCTAAAATTGAAGCTGTGCTACGGCCGCCATATTGGAAAATGGCGGCATATTTCTGTATTTTTCGCTATAGTGACTTTATTATTAGAGATACAGGAAAAAGCTAAATGTACGAAATGTAGGTCATCTAAAAATACACATTTTTTGTATTTACCATCTTTCTCTAAACCCAACGGTTTTTGAGTTATTTGTTATTAAGTATATTTAGTTTTTTCTATTTATCAAAAATAGGTGAAACACATGGAAATTGACCGTTACTTTCAAGGATTATGATAATTTTTCCCATTTAGTTAAATAGTGTGATACTATAAAATCTTAAAATTTTAGCTTATTTTATGAGTAAAACAACTCTGCCACAGCAAACCTGCAGACTCAGCAAATTTCCATTTGATTGGATGTTTTATAAAAAAATGTATTTAAATAAAATTAGATTCAACAGGTACCTAGGTTTGCTGCTACAGGAAGGTTATTATAGTGTGTGTTTTTTTTAGTAAAATATCAATAACTTAGTATGAAATAATTAATTTTCCAAGTTTGATCATAATAAATCTATAAACAAACAAACTGCAACAGTTAACCAATTCATAATATTAGCATGGTAGCTTAAGATTTACAATTTAATCGTCACGATTCGAATACTAACCGCAGAAGTTTTCAAAAGGAGATGAAGCAAGTAATTTAAGTACTGTAATATTAACTCGTACCAAGTATCGGACATATTGTATGCAGTGAGGAAATCAACCATATTTTGTAAACTACGCAATAGTCATATTAATATTTTATACTCATTTTTACCCATTTAATAAATTAACATTTTAATATTTTGATGGCACTACCACTATCACTCTGATATCAACTAAGTGGGATGAATAATTGTCGTAAACCTTGAAAGTGACCGTCGATTGCGATGGGTTTCACCGATTTTTGATAAATAAAACTAACTATACTATAATACCATACTTAATTAGTCACCAACATGAACTAGACACGAAAAACACCCTTCCAAATTTACAATGGGATGTCAAGTATAGTTAGTTAGTGTGGTGGTGCCATCAAAATACTAAAATGTTAACTATTAAATGGGTAAAAAATGAAGATAAAATATTAATATGACTATTGCGTACTTTACAAAATATGGTAGATTACCTTACTGCATGCAATATTTTCGGTGCTTGGTACGAATTAATATTACTTAAATAACATGCTCCATCTCTTTTTGAAAACCCATTTGGTTAATATTCTAATCGTGACGAATAATCGCCATCTTTTTAGTAAACACAACCAAAATTTGTATATTCAAATTTGTTTATTGAAATTTAAAACTCCCATGCTATTCTTATGAATTAGTGAACTGTTGCAGTTTGCTTGTTTATGGATATATTTTGATCAAACTTGGAAAATTAGTTATTTTATAGGAAGGTATTGATATTTTACTTAAAAACAAAAACTATAATAACATACCTGTAGCAGCAAACCTAGGTATCTGTTGAACCTAATTTTATTTATATACATTTTTTTATAAAACATCCAATCAAATGGAAATTTGCTGAGTCTGCAGGTTTGCTGTGGCAGAGTTGTTTTACTCATAAAATAAGCTAAAATTTTAAGATTTTATAGTATCACACTATTTAACTAAATGGGAAAAATTATCATAATCCTTGAAAGTAACGGTCAATTTCCATGTGTTTCACCTATTTTTGATAAATAGAAAAAACTAAATATAATTAATAACAAATAACTCAAAACCCGTTGGGTTTAGAGAAAGATGGCAAATACAAAAAATGTGTATTTTTAGATGACCTACATTTTGTACATTTAGCTTTTTCCTGTATCTCTAATAATATAGTCACTATAGCGAAAAATACAGAAATATGCCTCCATTTTCCAATATGGCGGCCGTAGCACAGCTTCAATTTTAGGGGACTTTTAGTATGTTCAAAAGGAAGGTACACCCAACATCTGTACCAAATTCCCCGGTTGTGCTAATTTTTTTTGGGTCAAAACATATTGTTACTGTACTATTATAGGGTCCTCGCGCGTTTCCTATGTAAATTTGACAAACGCACGAGTTGGACGACAATGGCTTAGTGGGGCAACTCTGGTATTTTCCTAACTATGACAAAACCCAAATCTTTTTTTAGATCCTCTGACTTCCTGTGAGAGCCACGGAAATTCAGTAATTGCATTATTAACAATAGAAGACGTTTCGCTCACCCTACGATGTGGCATCTTCAGTGGTAAAACTAACACTGACACCACCTTAACATGGGCCATATAGCTATTACTTACTGTATAGTAAAGAATTATAATAATAAAAATACCAAATTGACGCGTCTCTCAACATAAATAATTGGTTTAACCCCTTTATTATTGGCAAAGTGACAGAAAATGTAAGTCTGAAGGTGTTTATGCAGACGGAGTACTGTGGTTTAAGATATCATGCCTGTAGGTATCATGTTAAGTAAGCGTATAGGTTTCTCAGATAACATCTCATCCCGTCAAAATACCATCCGTTTACATACCATCCTGACGTACGGTACACAGAGATTGTCTCTGTATGGCACTACTAACATTGCTTTTCTTTTACACAAAACTTACAAAACTCCCAACATAAATGAGAAAATATATTTTATAAGGGGATTATTTAGTGTGGTAGTGTTAGTATTTAGTCAATTTAGTGTAAACTATCACTTTTCCAACCAAAAATTAAACACAATACTCGCAACAAAATTAAAACCCCTAAATATAAAGTTTGATATTGTTGGCTCAGATAACTAATAAGATTGTGCTTCTCTTGGCTTATGATTTATGATGATGAATAACGCAGATGTTTACCTTTGATCGGATCATATGCACGTCGTCATAGCCCACCCACTGGTTACCCTTGTAAGCATAAGGTCCAACGGCTTCTGGGTGAGAGTCAACAACGGTCCAGTTCTGCTCTTTGATGTTAGTGCAAATCTGAAATACATTCAAACTTTAAGACTATCGCAGATTAAGGATTTTTTTTTATTTAATTATATTCAGTAATTCCCACTTAGAACAAAGGTATTCCTCAGTAAATATTTTCATAAGTATACGAAAAGGTTTAATATACGTTTTATAGTACGGACAAACATGTGTGTGTGGTGTTTACAAAGCAATACTGATGAACGGGCTTCAATAACTTCTTTAGTATGCAAAATGACTCTAAATTGTAACTGACTCTAATAGATCTCATCTATATTAAAGTTGTTTGTCAAAACCTATTAAATTATTTAAACAATTTTCAAGGTTTTCATTTACATTTTTTTTCTCAAGGCTGCACTTGAGCAAAAAAATTAATAAGCCAAACAAAAAAACACAGCAATTCCTCATGAATACTGTGACAGAAATTTCCAATCCTACATTATTGATAATTGATTTTTAAAAACAATAAATCATTTTTAAACAAGCTAAACAAAATCACATTTACCAATGATTATTGAACAATCATGTGCCAAGATTGCAGTAGTTTATTCTTGTTTTGGAATTCACGTCGATAAGCGGGTGTTCAAGATATCATATATTAAAGAACGTTAAAACATCGCAATGAAATTGTTAAGTTTTAATACAATTTGTATAATGGTTCAAATTATTTATTTTCATGTAAAAGAACCGAAACAGTTCTTAATAATTGTACTCTGCTTTGAGGTATGCCTTTGTCATTTCCTCAATCCAAGACCTATTAAAATAAATAATGGTTATTATAAACGTGAAACTTCAGCATAAATGTCTGCTTACATTTGTTTACTAATAAGCTTTGTACGTTCCCCCTATAAGGACTACCTTTAAGGTTATATGCCAGTTTTACAAACCTCATAGTAAGCCAGGAAGCCTTTCTCCCCTGTATATTTTCCCGCAGTCCCTGGACCGTCAGCGTCTGCCCCAAAATCTCTCTCCTTCTCATCCTCAAGCGTGTATGTTCTACCGTAGGTGGGGATCCCAAGTACCAACTTCTCAGGGTCGGCGAATTTGAGGAAGTAGTTGATCGTGTAGTTCTGTAAATAGAAAATATTGCTGAGATTCTTTAGTAGCAGTCAAATTTGGAATCAAACTCTCGAATTCCTTTGAGAGATAATCGTATTGTTAAATTGGTGAAGATAGTGGCCAATCGAGTGAGCAATCTATATTAGGGGCAAACTACAGTAATTAAACGGATGTTAAGTTGTTTGCCCTGAAGGTGGATTGCAGCGAAGCATCAAAAACATCAGCTACTATCTTCACCAGTTCGACGTCTCGGAAATCTCGCAAAGACTTGTCGGAACTCTACGTTTACAAATCCGTAGAATATCTACCTATCTAAGTACTACTTATTAAACAATATAAATTGGATTAGGTTAAGTTTCTGTGAGGCCAAGTTGCATTTGATGAATTATAAGATAGCTTTTTTTGGACCAAGATCACCTGTTTCTTTCGCCGGTAGTTTTTACAAAAGGCCAATTATCAAAGACAGCTGGGTGCAGTTTCCAACCAATAAAAATCTTACTTAAAGTTTTCAGAATCAAACCGGTGACCTCCTTATTGTTGTCCGCCTATGAACCCGACCATAAGCAGATGTATGTTATTATTACTTATTGTTGTTGAAGTTGTTACTTACAGCGTTGAGTTTCAAATCCTTATCCGTGCTGTTCGGCAGTGCATACAGTGGAGAATGATGATTGGCAGTTGTCACGTAGGAGAAGGTATAATCGTAGCAGATGACGCTGATGAAGTCAGTGTACCTGCGGGCGAAACGTTGCTTTCATGACAGGAAAAACAACTTGAACAACAAAACCTGAACAGTAAACAATGAGTATTGGAATTTGTTATCTTTGTGTTAACTAAGGCTGGAGTAAATAAGGTCTAAGATCAGCTCCAGCAAAAACTAACCTAATCGCCACTAATTGAAAAGTCACGATTACGCTAGGTCATTTTTAACTAAAAACCCCAACTTATATTATGAAAATTATTAAATAATCTACAAACTTGTTTCACTGTATTTGTGAAAGGTCGCAATAAATATTATGTATAAAGCATGTCATTACGTTACTTTTCAGATGCTAAAAGATTGAGCACCTGGATATAGAACAAACAACAGGAATTCTACTACAGTAATCTTTTAGGTAATGTAAGTGACATCACCTAGAAGATTACTGTAATATAATTCCTTTTGGGTCCGGAATTAAAGTTTCGAAAGTCTGTTGTGTATTCGATGATTCTAACGTAGTTAATGATGTGTGAGTATTAAGTAGAGGAAGATCTGATAGCTTCTTTTGTTACTATTTTGTCGTTTTAGGTATTGTCATTATTAATACGGATAATACCTTTAACTGTTTAACTATTGATACTTCAGTACCCAGTAGTTGATGATAATACATTGCTACCGTTGTTTTATTAACTCACTTAATATTAATGAACAATTAAAGGTGAACAAAAGGAAGGTAATTGGCAATGTTCACATCCATAAATCGCAAAGTTTAGTTTACCTTCACCAAATAGTTGTTCGCATGGAACAATTTCAATGAGTCTTTATGCCTAGACATTATTTATATTTGATTTACATCTAAAAATATGTAGCCGGAAAGTAGGATTTAAGTAATTCAAGTTGATTTATACTTAATTAATTGTAATACTTACTTATTGAAACTCTCTATGTCGTACGCCGGCAAGGATTTTAAATTGTGAGAAATGCCGATGGAAAGTAGAAGTTTTGTTCGTTTCTTCTCTGCAGCTTCATTTTCGAATTTTTCTTGTAATAACTGTAAAAGCATAACTAATTAATTAGAAATTTAATTTTAAACTTAGCAAAGTTAACCTCAATTTGATCACCGAGGTAATCAAGTAAATGATTAAGTACAACAAGTGTTTAATCTTATACTACACACAAGGGTTTTTTACAACCAGTTTTTTGTTATACACATGATGCTTTTCTTTTTTACAAGAAGAAATAGGTGAAGAGACACAAGATAAACAGTATTTAGCTTAATTGAAATAATAGGTATACTAATTACAGGTTTCTATTGTTCAATATACTTGTTGAACATTGCAGAAAAAAGTCTTAAAAAGCCTCGTACTATGACACATCTTGTGACATAAAATTGGTCGTAGATAAGCATGAAAAATGCTAATAAACTTATAAATAAAATGATAAATAGATTGATCAAAGGTAAGCAAATAAAAAAAAACTCTTTCTTTGCAGAAAGAAACAATTCCTTTGAAATCGCGATTCCAAGTATTACTGTATCGTTTTAAGTTAAAAGTTCATCACAATACAGTCTGTAGCCATTAGACTACGGTAAATAATGTAGTAAATAAACATTTGTTCTGAATTCCGAAAAAAATCATAATGAAACGGTTTCCAGGTTATTAAGGAAAAATATGATGGGATTCTGTTTTGATTATTAGCGTGGCGAAAACCTGAGCGCTAGAGTTTTACAGTACTGTAGTATACATTTTGTATTCGATCTTGATTTCTCGGTAATCTGACTAAGTCTGTAATTAGCATTAACACAAACATAGACATGTCAAGCATTGTCCAACTGCTCCACTGTACTTAGCGAGAACAGTCTGGTCTAGTGGATGAGCCGATCTCCGGGCCCCTTGCTCTCGGCTTCAAATCTTACCATACACCAATCGATTTCAGCTAAGAGATAATGCCGTGACCCCCTAAGTGGGTGTATAAAAAAGTTCCACAGTAGGATGTGAGGTTTCAACATAGAAAATAAATTTAAAAATGCTCACAAAACTTTGCGCTTTTGCACCAAAGTACTCAGACTCTTACCTTGGCTAGAGCTACGTAGTTTTCCCTGTCCTGCGGTGTTCCACCCTCCCTGAAGGTAGGATGTTGCCAGTTCAAGTCCATACCATCAAAGTTATGTTGTCTTAGAAACACGACAGCCTGCTCAACGAACTTCTTCCTCGTTGTTTCATTGGCTGTTATTTCAGCGAATCCTAGCGATCCGGCGACCCATCCTCCAGTGCCCAGCATCACCTTCAGATCTTTGTTTTTCTTTTTCAGACCCGTTACTTTGGCATAGCCCTCTGAAAAATTTGTAATATTTTTAGAAAATAGAAAAAAAACATGAGTTAAACGTTTTTAAAACCGCTGACGCTTTTCTTTTGATTGATATTTTTTAACATCCCTGTTCTATTAAACCTGAATTTCATTCAGTTAATACAAGTTTGTTTTTTATTTGAGTAAGTTTTTGAGAGTAGATTCTGGGGGTCCAAAGCAAGGATTCTCAATCTTTAAAGAAGAGATCTCTCAATAGCATGAATTCTATTTAAGTACATTTGCTTTCATTTTTATCAAGCGAGTTGAAAGTTACACGTTAAAAATTCTCACTAAAATTAAAAACTACTGCAATGCAGTAAACATATAAGGTTTGCTAAGGATTTATCTTAATTTTAACTTATTCCCTTTTTAGGGACTCCACCAACTCACTTTTATTTATATCCGCCTCGGGGTCGGAAGGCGCAAGGTTGTAGTTTTGGCCGAAGGTTGCGAAAGCGTAGATGATATGAGTGCAGGCGAAGGCATCCATACTTTCCGGGGTGAAGTTGTAGGGTGATTTCCTCCATTGACTCCAACTTGTGAAGTAGCACACCACTTTCTTGTCCGCCGGTGTTGTTTTAGGACTGGCCAAATTTGTCGAGTCGTCCGCTAAACAAACAAAGGATAATGCTTGGCCTAACAAGGTCTCAACTTTGTTTACATCATTTTTCTACATCACAAGGTAAATATTTTGATGTATGAATTATATTTGCGTTTATGAATAGTTTTAAGAGAGGTTAATATTTTTTTCAAATTTGAATAACCAATTTGTATATTTGGAGTAGGGTATTTCTTGATAAATGTTATTATGTTGTTCTATTCTTTTGTCTTAAACATAGCATAAAAATAGCATGTTTGAACGATAAAGACATTTCATTAAACTTTGGAAGAGAACGTTTGAAATCCTACAAGTGTTATTATTTTAACCTAGTAACATCGAGGGAAGAATTCTTCGGGTTACTGTCCCATTGAAAAAAATATTTATTTGTAAAACTAGTGTGTGAAGTGGCACTTTGCACTCACTTTACACATTGTATTTTTTCTACAGTTACTATTAAGTATATAAATAATGAGCCTTTAAACCATATACAACACGTTTTTAGGCTAGGTTGAATCCAAGCATTTAATGAAATGGGAAACGCTTCACCAACTAACTGTTCGTACGAGTAGTATCCTTAAGTGTTGCCAAATGATTTTCACACTGTTTTCTGTTGTTTTATTGGAATACTGGAGTGCGGAAAAAGTAAGTCAATGCAGCAATTAGCTACGTTGCGTGCTATGATCAGTGCAAGGAAGCCCATTTTGTTAGGTAACTGCAGAAAAATGGTTTTCGTAACGTCGACTGAAACAAATGAGTCCGATGAATCTGACCAATGGCAAGTGTTTATTCATGTTAGACGGAAAGGTCTTATAAACATGTCAATACATCTCTATTGGACTCTATTTTGTTGGTTTACCCACAAAACAGTTGTTTTTGGTCAAGCATTTAGGGCACTTTAAGTCATCAGCTGTATCACGGGGTACTAACAGCTGGCTTATGTTATCAATTGGGTGGGGCACGGCTAGCCTCATAATACTTATTTTCTTCATTTAATTACATCTATTAAAAAATATCGTATTTCAACTTCGAAAACTTGACAAGACCGGCGGGCCTCTACACTTAGGCTAAACTGTCGATCATTTATAGACATAACACTTAAATTAGTTATACTCACCCAAGCAGACGATGGCGAAGGACAAAAAAATAAAAGCATTTCGTATGGCCGTCATCTAAAACAAATCGTACTTGGAATTGGAATATATTTTAAATTAAATATCTTAAATAATGTAATTCATCCTGGGTACTTTCCTGTTAAAGGGAACATTCATTATTATCGATTATTTTTTTCTCGATGTATCGATATTAACAAATTGAAACATATCAGCTGACAACTACGATAAATATTGTTCAGTATCAACAAACAATAATGAAATGAAACTGATAAAAAAAATAACCTAACATAACTAACCAGACATGCTGTAAGTTTAACTTGCCTTTTCTGTTATCAAAAGGAATTTTTAAATAGTACAGCAAGTTTGGTTGGTTATGTTAGGTTAGCTTAGAACAGTTTCATTTCTAAATCAATATAATAGACTATTTTAGCCAAAATAAGATCAGTTGTCAATATGTAATGGATCGGTAAACAAAAATATCGATACATCAAAAAAATCATCGATAATAATGAATGTTCCCTTTGACAGGAAAGTACCTCATCCTGTAAATACCAATAGGAGATCAGATGATATACTTGCAGAGTTTCTGATATTGACTTATAAAAATTAACCTTATCTAGTTTTCTCATATTGAACTTATTTTTTAGCAAATATTTTAAGCAATTAGTTAACATTGATTCAATAACAAAATAAATTATTCAAACGTGTTTTATCATGCTAAATACACTTTTTATTGTGTTTTATCTGTATGCCTTTAAATTTAATTATGCTTTTCCTACAACAATCTATTAAAATCCCCTGCATTTAACCTAACCTATATTCTTGAACATAGTTATTGGATTTATAAATTAGTGTTTTTGATACGTTTAACTATACCGTTAAGCCAGTCCACTTAAATAAAATATAATCTTCAAAACTTATTAGGTGCTTATTTATTTTGTTTATTGTACCATCTCCTTCCATCATTACATCTTTTACTTCAATCAGTTTAGCCTCTGGATTGCTTATATACTAATTGATATTATAAGGCCTTACCTTAGCAATCCTTTTTTTTATCCGAAATTAATTTCGGGCCCGAAGGTCCATCATCATTCGGAATCTAGTATACCAATTTTTTCTAAAATAGAATCCACCCGTTGGGTTTCGTAGAAAGTTTCACAATATTTAAGACAATACAAGTTATAGTCGATACGAAAAGTGTAAAACAATTAGGGTTATCTGACCAAAGTGAGGTTATCTGACATTACATGGTTTTTAGCCCTAATTGTTTTACACTTTTCGTATCGACTATGACTTGTATTGTCTTAAATGTTGTGAAACGTTCTACGAAACCCAACGGGTGGATTCTACTTTAGAAAAATTTGGTCTACTAGATTCCGAATGATGATGGACCTTCGGGCCCGAAATTAATTTCGGATGAAAAAACAGGATTGTTAAGGTAAGGCCTTATAATATAAATTAATCTTTTACTTATTAGCCAATTACTGTACTGAAAAATAATAAATCTAAGTAGGTCGGTTCTGAATAATATATCTCTTGTTTTCCATCAATCTAAAACAACAACAAAAAACACACAAAAAATACTGCAATTATAGTTTAGATGCAAACGTACCTTTTAATTTCATATTATTCTTTCAAATAAAACTATCAGTGCCAACCGATAAGGTTTAAAAGGCCACTCTAGTAAACCATGAAACTAATTAATGTAGCTAATTATTTTGACGTAGCTAAAACTACTTAAACCCACGTCGTTACATGCGTTCAAATTACATTATTTATCCGTTTTGTGTATTTCTACATTTGAATTGCATTAAAATTACTGCAAGCATGTGAAATGAAGGCAGCTAGCAAATTATTTATGTCATTTATCACAATCTTCGTGTATAATATGAAAAAAGAAGTTCTTATCATGAAAACCGGGTTTAGTTTATTTTGTTAATTATAAACAAAAGATAATAGATCATTGGGTGTTTACGTTCATCTTACGTAAGCACTCCTTTGGACATCCATTGGGGTATAGTTGCATAAATGTTTGCATTTATGCAATTAGGGAACTATTAGAACTGTCTACAAGTAACAGGTTAAGTAACAGTCTACAGCATAATAAGTAGATTTATTCACGTTTGGGTATAGACTTAAGTAGGCAAATATAAGTAACATAAAACTAATATTCCAGTCCAACATCAATGTGTACCATTCAAGTCATATTTATTACATAATGAAGTATCTGATATTAAAAACTGTACGAAATTAAAGGACCAAATGTACTTATTGCATTGTTTAAACAGTAGTCATAGTTTCGCCCAACATAAAAAAGACTGTCTAAGATTATTTGCAAGAACGTAAACAAGTTAACTATATGCTTTAGTTATATAACCATATTTTATTTAGATATATTATTATAGGTTGAAATAAGATATACGTCCTTACACAGAACCACCATAGAACCTTTAAATAATATTGTTGCTAACACAGACTGGAGAACACCAATTTTTCAGTCCCATATAATTATATTTAAAAAATTAACTTTAATTATGTTACTTATATAGCAAACTTACAAATTGGACTATTTATTGCTTAAAATAAGTTCAACTATCACATGAACAAAGAAGCTATGTCTAAACGATTTCTAGTACAAACTCAAGTACTTTTACATTTTAATCCCGCATGATTCTATAAACATGCAGACTGATTTAATCTTCTCATTTAATATATTCATAACTAGGCCTGTTTGTAGTCTTAGATGGTAATACGACATGTCAGGTTGAACAGATTATAAGCCATCAAATTATAGATGATTAAAAATTTAGGAACACTAACTTTGTGTACCACGGAGTATCGTAAGCAATAAAAGTGTACCCTACGAAGGGTCTACAAGTATCAAACCATTATAAATAGGCTAAAGAATTCCACAAGACTGATTAATCAGGTATTAATTTAAACTATATAAGACTAACTGGAGAATACTAACCTTGTACTCGCCTGGACACTCTGCTACTACACAATTCGACCGGCCTCTGCAGCAAACCTGTTACAGACTTGTCAACACGGGGAAACCCCACTCGGTTTTCCTCCAAGTGTAATTACCCAGATTAATCTATTTTGAAGAGTTTTACCCACGCACAGGAAACTGGATGGACGTTGGCACCGTGACAAATAATTTGGTATACTCATCTAAGTTTGTTTACGGTATTCCTTGGACCTTGAATATGATAATGGAAGATTTGCGTTGGAGTTGAAACGTTCTGTTTGCTGATTTAATACGATAGCCTGTGAACAATGTTATAATGCAATATTATACTAGGGGTACCCGTGCAGCTCAGTGCGCTGCTTTATCTTTTATAACTAAAGTGTATATTGAATGCCCCCTTTATTACAGTAAAGTACAATTATATTAAATGTTCAATTAAATTATTTAAATTTAAATTACAGTAAATGTTAAATTATTTAAATGTTATGTTAAATGTTCGTATGTGAATATTTTGGTACAAAATGCTATTGACAAAAGAATTGGTTTTGGTAAAATTATCTATATAGATGCTTTGTTTTTGTTGCATCTTGGAGACTAATATAAGGTTCCACGTTGATTTTTTCCAACGAATGCAAACCATCCTCCCTCAATCCTCGTAAACATTTCAATGCCATACAGGATTGGTGATAATTATTGTGTTCTAGTAAAACTATGTGTAAACTGTAACTGTGTTTCTATAAAGCGATATTTTTTTCATTTTTATTTTTATACCAAATTATTTTGATTCATTTTTTTACCAGGCTTTTCTCTTGTAGGGCATTCTTTTCGTGAGCAACACTGCACTAGACAAGAAATAAAAATGAACAAATATTTATTAACACAGTCAAAGTACCACATGGCCCCTTCTTACGATAAACTTGCTCAGATGAATAATATTATTGCATTTCTTACTCTTTTTATTTTTTTGCAAAATGTTTGATTTCTATATTTAACGCTTAGAGTCGTGTTTAACATAGGTACTCTAGTGTATGCTACCTTATTACTTAAGATAAATAAAGGGTAATGCACGTTTGAGATATTAATCCACGAGCTAAGTTATAGTAGTAAAGCTTATACACACTCAACCCGTTCTTGTATCCTCCGAGGCGAATAAACATGAGACATGTACAAGTGTATCGATTTAGATCTTATGTAACCGATAATCGAATATTTGGGGAGCAAATTCCGTTATTTACATGAAGAATAATATTGTATCTTCATAGAATTTGTGTGTGTTATCTTCGTCTTTCTAAGGTGTGGTTTTACTAAAGTAAATTACAGTTCTCATTTCATTTATTTTCAACGGTTAACACTATCTTTACAATACAATACATAAACTTATGGTACAGACAAGTCAGTATTACAAGCAACTAGTAATAAATAAGCGGACCAATTCTTAAATTGGAAAGTAAGTGAAGTTCTACGAGAAACAGGACAATCACAATCATGCATGTATTTTTTACATGTTTAAAACTTGACTAATATAATGAATTCCTGTTTGGAATGTATTTTTGCCATGGCAAATCCTACAAAAACTATTATGAAAGTATACTTCAATATACACAAAACCCCAGGATTATAAGTAACTGTTAAAACATTACTATTAAATAACGTAGTAACGTAAACGATTCTAAACGTCATGGTATTTTTATTTCGATATTTTTTTTTTTTCAATAAGGTGAGTGATGCCCACAAATATTTATCATACTGAACGTAAACGTTGTCACAAAAACGGTTATTTACAGCTTAATCATATGAACAACAATATTATGGAACTCGATTAGCCTAATTTTATTTTTTGCTAACATGATTTTATGACAGTTTTTATTTAGCATTGAGATGGTTATGCAGTTAACATTATAGTTTCTTATCACACATTTACGTTAATTGTTTCTTCTTCAAAATAACACACACACAAAGGTACAAAAGTATACAAAATATACTATGATACAAATGTTTTAATCTACACGTAATACAGTTTTCTATAGGTCTACAATGAAATAATGTTGATTTAAAATCAAACTAAGACATGATATTTTACTAATAACAAAATGTAATGTTATAATCAAATACCTGTGAGGTAGGCCTACCTGTGTAGTGTGTAATAGTTTGCAAAATTCATTGACTACTGCTACCAACCAATATCAAAATATGCAATGAAATATAAATATTGGTGCTAACGGAAATGGTGGAAGGGAAATTACTATTTTTTTATCTCTTGAAACTATCGCATGTTCGGCATACGGCACCTGATTCTGTTATTAGTAACGCGCTGTTCCTGTTTATGACAGAAGTGATTAGTGAAACAGTATACTACTTATAAAATTACCATATCATACCTCTTGAACAAATTAGTTTATCTCGTGGTGATTTTTACTTTGAAACAGTTTATACTTCAGTTAAATCTTTTGGATAGGTGACAGACATGCTAACAAAATTTTAGAATAAACTAATTTAAGACTGACAACTCCTGGTAAAAGTACAGCAAGTTATTACAACACTTTATGAATTGTTATATTCATTATTATTAGGCTGGGTAGCCTAGTGTTTATATTTCTCACTCAGCAATCAAAAGGTCTTCCGTTCGGTGCTGATCATTGGGCATTAAATAAATGAACCTAGCTAATGAAAATGCTGATTTTAGTCAGTAACAAAGCTACGCATATCATTTCACAACATTCTACACTCATCCTTCACTCATATTTGGTTAAAATACGCACCTAGGTGACGGCTCCATCTTACTGATTGATTGATTATACATTTAAATCGCAGTTATACGTTGTATCATTAGTCAAAGGTTATACCAACTGAAAATACATTACTTAAACACATTAACCCCATTTTTTATATGTTTGCACCATAGTCAAAAAAATAGTAGTTACACCATATATACCACATTTTAAGGGTGATTCTTTGAAGTTTCATCTCTTAGAGTTCATCTCTAGAGTTGTTTACTTAAAGTTTCGCTGACTTGAATCTTACCTCTGTTTGTTTTAAAGATGTATGAAAACTTCAAAACATAATATTTTCTCAGTATAACAATTTTCTTACAAAAAACTGATTACTTAATGAATGTTTTGTTTGGGTGACTTAATTTGTTATAAAACTATTTAACTGTTCTATCATGGGCATCCCTACAGGAGAATGGCAATGTTTATTTTAAACAAATTTAAATCGAAAATTTTAAAACTTTACACATATATTGTCGATGTGCTCTATGAATTTGCTGCAATAGCCAAACGTGGAACCACACCATCAAATAATTTAAATTCGGCAATCGTAAGATTTTCCCCATTATACGGCAAAGGTGTGATACATTATACATCCATCGATTGATGCGATCTCTTCAAAAATCCATGATAAACTTTAAATATTTGTTTTACATTTTTTTAGTGGTAATAAAAAGTTAAACTTCATACTCAAATAAAAGATATTATGCTATTTATGCGTCGAAATAAAACAAAACCGAATCCTTCCTCAGTTGGCAGTCTTGACGTGTGTCATTTATTTATTTATTGTTCATTGTTTTGTGTTTGTGGCAACATATCGTTTAGATCTCTGCTGCAGATAACGAGTTTGTGAGTAAAACTGCAAGATAATCATTTATTGTGTCTACACAGCACACTGTTTTAGAGGCTGTTGTGTATTCATACAAAGTTGTTGTCGTATTTTCGATGTTGTATGTGTCAGCCCATATATTAGGTTAAGGCTGCTAAGCCCCATTTCGAGCAGTAATTGTAGTTTATCTGTTTGTTTTGGCTGAGGTTTATGTCATCGGCTCCTGTAATTATAACCTAAATCATATTTAGTTTCTGGACATTTGTGTTGTATGGCCTAATTTATTAATTGTATAAAGGATACCGTGTTTTAATGGGTTTTATTCGGAAAAGTCGGTAATTGTAATTGTTTTGGCTACCTAATTAAACTGTGGTTATTGTGTATTACATGAATATAACGTGTATATTGTTTTTACAAGATGTTTTTAATTTTCTTCTCTTTTTTATCTTTTTCAGTTTCGACTCATATTATTTAAATAGTTTTGGTCAAGGATATTAAAAAATATATGACAGTTGCTATTTGAGAGATTATATTACAAAGTAACATTCACTCACTATCACTAAAAGTGAACTTTAAACAATTAATGTATTAGTCATTTTTGATTATAAACAAAGTGATACTTTGATACATCACAGTTGGTGAACAACTATAAAATGTAATATCACTACAATGGATCTGAATCTGTGAACGGAGAGCGATTAAGCTAACAAGACTCTTAATCGCCTTTAAGATGGGTGCTTTAAGGTCAGTTTGGAAATAACACTCCTTGTTTCTTTTTCAAGAGTAATGTCTGTTGTGATTTGCTGTTACTGCACTGCAATTTACTGTACACTATCATAGAGTGATCATATTGGCAAACACAAATCCATGTAGTTATGTTATGTGTTTTTTTAAGATTTGTATTAGATAGGTCGAAGTTAGTCAGGTTAAAATTCTATTTTCTATAACTTTTAAAAATATCTGAGATGGTGAGAAACAAGTGCAAACAAATTCGGTCTTTTTACTATGCTATATTCCTAAACATGATGTGTTTTTATATTTTCAAAATTTTAAATTAGTTTACACATACTACGATATATTATCAGAAAATCAAAACTAATGGAAGAAATTCTAATTACATGTTTCATTTACAGAGTGGGTGAAAATAGAAAAGTTTTTACAATACATATTTTCGGTCGAGTTTTCGTCCATGGGGTGGCCACTAGTTCTATTACAATCAATCTTTTGGTTTTTCAATTTTTCACTTTATTTTAAACCCTTTCATCTATTCGACTTGTATTTCTTTGCTACAGTAGTACAGTCTTCACTAATAAAATAACAAAGGATATTTATCACGTAATAATAAGATGTGTAATTGAGTAATTGACAGCCTATAATAGATATATCTATTTTCACATTAATTTCTTCCACTCACGTGTATCTTTAGATCCGAAAGCCGATTACGACGGTAAAAACAAACCGGATGACTCAGTAACTT